GCACCCAAGATGTTCACAGTGTTCATTATATGTACATTCTACTCAGAGACCAGAAATTTAACGAACAACAAAATAAAACCATAATCTTTGTTAGGTATTATTGAAACATAGAAGTAACAAAAGTAAGCATGTGGGAAGAGAAGTAACTTTAATAGATACATAAATTATAGTTATTTAATTAAGAAAACACAAACAATACTGGTGTTTCTGGAAAAGTAGACTTGGCATCTCTAGAAATAGTTACACGAACTTGATAAAGAACAGAAATTCCTTACTCTTTCAGGTCGTATGAATTATTGTGATAATTAGCAAGGCCGAATTCTAACACAGACTATAATAAAACATTCTTTGAATATTAAAATAATCCTTCCAAAGTCTAAATTAAGCTTTGCAAATTTTAGGTAAGGTGTTGTATTGAAATTCTGCCCAAGATATACACAGTAGTGAGTAATGTGTTGCTGTGAAAGCTTTTTGGATGAAAAAAATGAACTTTGGGTATTAGAATACTTGATTTACCAGATTTTGGCTCCTCTCCTGCCTGTTTCTCTTGCTAAACATTCAGACTGAGACTTTACTATGATTATCTAATCTTACTCCATTCTTGGAAGTTTACCTTCTGTAAACAGAAGGAGACCCTCCTGGATTGTTATGGTGAGTATTTAGCTCTGAATTAAATGAATGTTTAAATCTCTAAGATTTCCAGTAATGTTGAATTTGGCTGGATAGTCTGTGGTTATAATATTGCAAGCCTTCAAAAATACATGGAAAAAAATAAATAAAAATACATTGGTTCTTCAATAGGGATATGCTTTTTCTCCTGATTAGCATTTCGTTATTACCCTCACTGTCGACTTCAAACAAATTTTATGCAGTTTACAATTCTTGTAGCATATGGTTGCTGCCTACAAGCATTTTGTGTTCCTTGGCAGACAGCCACATGCAACACTGAAGAATGATTTTCTGGATGAATAGTAGAGAATCTTGCTTTTATCCATTTTTCTACTTGAATTCAACTTTTGAGGTAGGGCTGGGTTAGACCTTTTTTTTTTTTTTTCCTTTTCTCCCTCCTCTCCCTTTCCCCGTTCCTTCCCTCCCTTCCTTCCTATTTCTTTGTTCCAGTCTCCCTTTACCAGATTTACTGGATTTACCGGGTGTTGGTAAATCTGGTAGAGTAATTTATGCTGTCAGTTGTATTAGAGGTTCTTGTCCAATAATAATGTAATACTCCTGTAGACCATCTAACTTTTGCCTCCTGCTGAATCCTCACCTGTTTTTCAAGCCGTTTGTACTTCTGGTTGTAAAGAATTCCCCAAAGCAGATAATATATTGTTTGGTGCACCTCATCACTCATCTTGAGACCCTATGTGGACTTCTGTCTTGTAAAAATAATAGCTTTTACTTATCAGTTATTGAGATGAGGACGGGGTATAATTTCCTGTAAAGGGTGTGAAGGTTGGAAAAAATGTGAAGATGCTTTGAGAATATAGATTGAGGCAGTGACAGCAAGAAATGGTGGGAAACTCTCTGGAGAGAGCAGAAGATGACAGCGAGAGAACTGAGGACGTGGCCGGGCCAGGCGAACATTCCTTTTCAAGACTTCCATAGCACAAGAGCCAGGGGACGAGAGCATAGCCTCGTATCAGTCCCTGGGCACTCAATCCCTCCATGCCCTTGCTTGCTCTCCCACTTCCCACCCTTTCCTTGCAGGTAGCCATGAGTGGGCTGCCCCACCACGTGGGGTGGCAAGGCAATGGGCCGAGCTGTGTTGGAGAGGCCGCTGGCAGAGATGAGCCATCGAGGGCTGTGATTGTTCCCCTATTGTGTCTATTGCCCCTTGTGGCACCTTTGTGTCTATGTGTTCTGCAGACTTAGAATCTAACCCAACTGCTGTTCTATCTTTGGACCAACTGATTGAATTTATTGACTTACCATTTGGTTACTTGTTTTTGCCCTACATTACATGGCCTAAATGCTCGTATTTTGAACCTACTTCTGATTCATAGAGCATTAATCTACTGTCATCCCAAGCAAGTAAGAGATAATTTTTTTGATTACTGTCTAAATATTTTGCATGAGAGAATTCCAAAGAGGGATGAAATGTATGTGTAATATATATTAGTATATAATATATTTGTATATATATACACACACATATATAATACACACACGTACATATAGGTGCATAAACTCGGATAGGTATATATTCGCACACATACGTATACATTCACACATGTATACATATATATACACATCTACACATATGCACATATTATGTAAATGTTGCTTAAATGAAACCTGGACATCCATAATTTACTATAGAACTTATTAAAATATATAGGGAAATAAATAACAATCACTTTTTATGCATTTACATATTGTAGGAGAAGTCTTTAAACACCAAATCCTACTGTTGATTAAAAAATTGAAATAAATACCATCTCAGTGGAAAATTCGTATGAATTTGCTATTTGTATGTTTTGTTGCCATTTGGGAAAATTGTACTGTCAACCAACGTTAAATAGAAAAGCTCCAAATCAGTTATAAATTGAGAACAAATAGCACAGGCTGAATGTGCTCTGCATAACATTTAAAAATGTCTTGATTCTAATTAAGTCTCTTCCCTTAGACATCCCTGGCCCTTAATGCCTCTTTCAGAAGACAATCTGTCGCGATGAAGACGTGAAGCTGGGAAGGCACTAAGCTCGGAAGGCACCACGACGAGGCTTAGTCTACTGCTTCCAGGTTGGTGTCAGCCACCTGGGGCAGCTGGGGCTCCACCGAGACCCCTGTTGGTGGTCTCAATGCTGCTGCTTCCAGTGGGGGTGGCTGCCTACTGGGCCCACATCTGAGCTCCCCAACTAGAATTTGCTCACCTGCTGTGGGTGGTGGAGCAGGACCATTTGCCTCCATCACTGGTAGGGAAGCCTCTGCCGGGGACTGTGGGGCCTGACTCGAAGCTTCTGCCTCTGGCTTCTGGGGCTGCTGATCAGCCTGGGCTGCTGGAAGGAGACCCTGGTCTTGGGCCTCTGCTGCCGACCCCGCGGGGGGATTGCTGGGCCTGGGGGGCGGTTCTGCCTCATTGCCTCCTTCGGCCTCAGCCTGAGGAGTTGGGGGAGGCAGGGAAATCTCTGAGTGGCATAAAGGGCTCAGAGGGGATTGTTCTGGCTCCTTGAGGGCCGAGTCACCAACCCCTTGAGGACTGCCGGATTCTGGTGGGATTTCTTTGGGCTGCTCGAAGGTCGACTCCGGATGACGGATGACCATGAAGGCTGTGGCCAGATTTTTCACAGCATTGTGAACACTGTCGGCTTCCTCTGCATCAACCTCGCCGCCCACAGAAACGGCAGACTCTAGCTCCTCGTCGTCGGAGGTGTGCTGACTTTGGTCATCTTTTTCAGGCATTTTTGCTTCTCTGATTTTTTTGTAGAGCTCGTTTCTCTCTTCTTGTAAAGCTCGACAGAGGTTCTCCAGCCTCCCAATTTTCATCACGAAGCACTCATATTCCTTGGCTCTCAATGCTTTCTGTGAGTTGAAAACACACACACGTAAAACACCAGAGCAAAATTGACAGGATGCCCTCTGGAGACAAGCAAAACCATTTGCCCAGGAATTTGTCTGCCAGACTCTGGAGCCACCGCAGACTGGTGGCTGAACAGACTCCTGGTCAGGGGGAATCACTTCCGTTTTTTTGCCTTGTGGGTGAGACCCTGGTAGAATTTTAATCCCTGTATCCTTTTCTGTGGGAAAGAAAGATGGCAAAGCATCTCTCTGCTTCAGTCCAAGGCCTCCGGAATCTTAAAGTAGATGCATTTTCTGCTTTTAAGTCTTCCAATGGCACAATGAATGCGATGGACTGGGACCTGGCTGTCAGCAGAGCCTTATCTAGTCTATAGATAAACTGCTGTATGCTAATCTGGCAACTGGTTGATTTATGTCAGTGAATAATAAGCCCATCTCTTTGGAATTGGTTGCTATTTGGGATGAATTGCTAGAACAGTAATTATAACGACAGAAACTCCCCACACACTAATTCATGATGCTGCCTGCTCAAACTGTTCAGTTCTTCTCCATTTCTGCGGAAATGTTGGTGTGTTTGTGCATGAAATCGTTCCTAATTGTCTCACTCCTTGCCCCCACCTTTGTGCCACTCTGTACCCTTTGAGGGTTTTTCTGTTGCTCGTGCACATGGGGAGACCTTCACCTGTAAGCTCTGCCTCTCAGGTCAAGGGCTATATATCTTTGCCTTTATTGTCTCAACACCTACAGAGCCTGACATAATATCAGTAATTAAATGCCTGTTGGAAGAATTAGACAATACATCTCCATATCTGTCTATACAGTAGTACATACCCTGGGTGCTGGGGCTGGTGTCTTCTCTCAGTATGTTCAGATTAACTCATTAATTTATTCTGCACCTGCTCTGTGCTAGGCACTGGGGAAATTCAAAGACAAGTAAGACACTTGTCTTTCCTTTACAGAATGAAGTTGCGCAGGCATGATGCTGATTTGGCATCAGCTGTGGACTCAGCACGTAGGCATGTGACTCAGGGTCACAAAGCTCTTTGTGAGTCTGGATCCAATTCTCTTTTGCTCTAAATATTTTTATTACAATTTCACATATCACACCTCAGAAAAAAAAAATCAACTCTTTTTCCAAGATAATAATTCGCACTATTAGGTTATAATTACTTTCGGAATATGAATATTTGGACTAGGTAGGGGAAAATAAGCTAGCGGCTAGGCTTCCTTACCTCTTCAATCATGTCCAACAGAGCTTTGTTACAGTTCTCAAACCGGGCTTTCCACGTGGCTGTGTCCTTCTCCAACTTCTTCATTTTCTTGGTTGTCTACAGAAATTAGAGTATTTTAATGTTAATCCTGAAAACTTAACATATCAAAAAAACTACTAGTTCCATATGTGATGCCAAGAAAAGTCTCTTTGTCACTAGCTGCTGAAACAAACAGAAGTTTGATGTCACGGAATGAAGACTGAGTGGGAAGAGTCCTATTTATTCCTGAATCATCTAGGTTCGTGGTGAACAAACTTACTTGCACCAATTCAGGAAAAAGGAAACTACTTAGAGTTACCCTGTTTTGTCATTGCTTATTCTTTAAAGTAAAAGTAGCTTTATTTAGTCCCAAGAATAAGCTTGCAATTTAGATTCTTTACTGAATAGAAACTGCAGGCGAGAAAGCTGGTCTGGCTTTTTAGCCATTAACATATTGGGACTATCTGGGCACATCTGAGAAGTAGCTACACAAAGCTACAGCTTTCTATTTTCTCAGTCTACATTTTTTTTTTTTTTTAAAGTTTTAATTTAAAGACTAGCTAGTTATCATACAGTGTAGTATTAGTTTCAGGTGTTCCATATAGTGACTCAACACTTCCGTGCATCACTGGTACTCTTCACAAGTGCACTGCTTAGTCCGCATCGTCTCTTTAACCCATCCCCCCATCCACCTCCCCTCTGGTAACCATCAGTTTGCTCTCTATAGTTGAGTCTGTTTCTTGGTTTGCCTCTCTCTCTCTTTTTTTCCCTTTGCTCGTTTGTTTTCTTTCTTAAATTTGACATATGAGTGAAATCGTATGGTATTTGTCTTTGATTGACTTCTTTCACTTAGCATAATACTCTCTCGATCCATCCATGTCATCGCAAATGGCAAGATCTCATTCTTTTTTATGGCGGGTAATATGATATTCATATATATATGTATATATACATGTATGTGTATATATACACACCACATCTTTACTCATTCGTCAGTCAGTGGACAGTTGGGCTGTTTTCCATTATTTGGCTGTTGTAGATAATGCTGCTATAAACATTGGGGTGCATGTATCCCTTTGAATCAGTACTTCTTACTTTTGTATTCTTTGGGTGAATACCTTGTAGTGCGGTTGCTGGATCATACGGTAGTTCTACTTTTAACTTTTTGAGGAACCTCCAGACTGTTTTCTACAGTGGCTACACCAGTTTTCATTCCCACCAACAGTGCAAGAGGGATCCCCTTTCTCCACATCCTCGCCAACACATATTTCTTGTGTTGTCGATTTTAGCCATTTTCACGGGTACGAGGTGATATCTCACTGCAGTTTTGATTTGGATTTTCCTTATAATGAATGATATTGAGCATGTTTTCATGTGTCTGTTGTCCATCTGTATGTCTTCTGTAGAAAAATGTCTGTTCATGTCTTCTGCCCACTTTTAATTGGATTATTCATTTTTTTGAGTGTTGAGTTTGATAAGTTCCTTATATATTTTGTATACTAACCCTTTATCAGATATGTCATTTGCAAATATCTTCTCCTATTCCATAGGTTGCCTTTTAGTTTTGTTGATTGTTTCCTTTGCAGAAGCTTTTTATTTTGATGTAGTTCCAATAGTTTATTTTTGCTTTTGTTTCCCTTGCCTCAGGAAACATACTTAAGAAGTTGTCACAGCCAGTATCAAAAAGTTACTGCCTGTGTTCTCTTCAAGAATTTTTATGGTTTCAGGTCTCACATTTAGGTCTTTAACCCATTTTGAAGTTATTTTTGTGTATGGTTTAAGAAAGTGGTCCAGCTTCATTCTTCTGCATGTTGCTGTTCAGTTTTCCCAACACCATTTGTTGAAGAGACATTCTTTTTCCCATTGGATATTCTTCCCTGCTTTGTTGAAGATGAATTGACCATATAGTTGTGGGTTTATTTCTGGGTTTTCTATTCTGCTCTGTTGATCTATGTGTGTGTTTTGTGCCAGTACCATACTTTTTTTTTTTTTGATTACTATAGCTTTGTAATAGAACTTTGAGTCCAGAAATGTGATACCTCCAGCTTTGTTTTTCTTTTTCAAGGTTGTTTTGGTTATTCAGGGACTTTTTTGGTTCCAGACACATTTTAGGATTGCTTGTTCCAGCTCTGTGAAAAATGCTGTTGGTATTTTGATAGGGATTGCATTAAATGTGTAGATTACTTTGGATAGTATAGACATTTTAACAATATTTTTTCTTCCAATCCATGAGCATGGAATGTCTTTCTGTTCTTTGTGTCATTTTCAATGTCTTTCATCTATGTTTTATAGTTTTTGGAGTACAGGCCTTTTACCTCTTTGGTTAGGTTTATTCCTAGGTATCATTGCTTCTGTTCTGTTTCTGTTCTGCAATTGTAAATGGATCCTTAGTTTTTTTCTGCTGCTTCATTATTGGTGTATAGAAATGCAACAGATTTCTGTATGTTGATTTTGTATCCTGTGACTTTAATGAATTTGTCATCTCTAGACATGTACAGAGCATCATGTCATCTGCAAGTAGTGAAAGTTTTACTTCTTCCTGGCCAATTTGGATCCCTTTTCTTTCTTTCTTTCTTTCTTTCTTTCTTTCTTTCTTTCTTTCTTTCTTTCTTTCTTTCTTTCTCCCTCCTTCTCCTCCTCCTCCTCCTCCTCCTCCTCCTCCTCCTCCTCCTTCTCCTTCTCCTTCTCCTTCTTTTTTGTCTGATTGCTGTGGCTAAGACTTCCAGTACTATGTTGAATAAAAGTGGTGAAAGTGGACATCCCTGTCTTATTCCTGACTGTATAGGAAAAGTTCTCAGTTTTTCCCATTGAGGATGATAGTAGCTATGGGTTTTTCATATATGACCTTTAGTATGTTGAGGTATGTTCCCTTTAAATCGACTTAAAGTATTGAGTGTTTTTATCATGAATGGATATTGTACTTTGTCAAGTGCTTTTTCTGCATCTATTGAAATGATCATATACGCTTCTTATCCATTCTTTTATTAATGTGATGTGTCATGGTGATTGATGTGCAAATATTGAACAACTCCTGCAACACAGGAATAAATTCCATTTGATTGTAGTGAATGATTTTTTAAATGTAATGTTGGATTTGGTTTGCTAGTGTTTTTTATTGAGAATTTTTACATCTATATTCTTCAGAGATATTGGTCTGTAGTTCCCTTTTTTAGTACTGTCTTTATCTGGTTTTGGTATCAGGGTAATGCTGGCTTCATAGAATGAAATGGAAGTTTTCTTTCCTTTTCTATTTTTTTTGTAATAGTTTAAAAAGAATAGGTATTAACTCTTCATTAAATTTTTTTTTAATGTTTATTTATTTTTGGGAGAGAGAGAGAGACAGAGACAGAGACAGAGTGTGAATGGGGGAGGGGCAGAGAGAGAAGGAGACACAGAATCCAAAGCAAGCTCCAGGCACTGAGCTGTCAGCACAGATCCCTATGAAGGGCTTGAACTCACGAACTGCAAGATCATGACCTGAGCCGAAGTTGGATGCTTAACCGACTGAGCCATCCAGGTACCCTTGTATTAACTCTTCTTTAACTGTTTGGTAGAATTCTCCTGTGAAGCCATCTGGTCCTGGACTTCTGTTTGTTGGGAGTTTTTTGATTACTGATTCAATTTATTTGCTGGTTATCAGTATGTTCAAGTTTTCTATTTCTTCCTGTTTCAGTTTTGGTAATTTATATATTTCTAGGAATTTATCCATTTCTTCTAGGTTGTCCAATTTGTTGGCACATGGTTTTTCATAATATTCTCTTATAATTTCTGTGGTGTTAGTTGTTATTTCTCCTCTCATCTGTGATTTTATTTATTTGGGTCCTTTCTCTTTTCTTTTTTTTTTCTTTATATTTTCTTTTTGAGAAGTCTGAATTGAGGTTTATAAATTTTATTAAGTTTTTCAAGGAACCAGCCAGCTCCAGGTTTCATTGATCTGTTCTGTTGTGTTTTTAGTTTCCACATCACTTATTTCTGCTCTAATCTTTATTATTATTTTTTGTTTTGAAAGAAATGTGGACTGCCACAGTCAGCACCTCATTTGGATGTGTCTGGGTTCTTGGAAGCTTGACTACCCTACGTTTTCCTACAAATGGACCTAGAGAGCTTGTTTGGAAGTTCTAGCAGGGGAGCGCAAGTACTTATACACCCCTGACTAAGAAGGATGGTCTTTCTCTATCTGGACACCCACCTAACCAGCCAGATCAGTTGAATCAACCCTGGTGATCAATGGAGTGACAAATGTCTCAGCCAGATCACCCTTACATTCTCTGCTCTAATCTTTATAATTTCCTTCCTTCTGCTGATGTTAGGCTTTGTTTGCTGTTCTTTTTCTAGTTCTTCTAGGTGGAAAGTTAGGTTGTTTATTTGAGATTTTTCTTGCTTCTTGATGTAGACCTGTATTGCTATACACTTCCCTCTTAGGACCATTTTTGCTGTATCCAAAAGGTTTTGTATTGTTATATTTTTATTTTAATTTGTTTCCATGTATTTTTTAATTTCTTCTTTGATTTCCTGGTTGACCCATTCATTGTTTAGTAGCATGTTGTTTAACCTTCATGTATTTGTGGTCTTTCCAGATTTTGTCTTGTGATTGATATCTAGTTTCATAGCATTGTGGTCAGAAAAGGTGCATGGTATGACTTCAATCTTTTTGTATTTGTTGAGGCCCGTTTTATGACCTAATATGTGACATCTATTCAGAATGTTCCATGTGTGGTATAAAAGAATATGTATTCTGTTGTTTTAGGATGGAATGTTTTGAATGTATCTGTTAAGTCCATCTGGTCTAGTGTGTCATTCAAAGCCACTGTTTCCTTGTTTGTTTTCTGTTTAGATGATCTGTCTGTTGATGTAAATGGTATGTTGAAGTCCCCTACTATTATTGCATTATTATCAATTAGTTCCCTTATGTTTATTATTAATTGTTTTATATATCTGGGTGCTTCTATGTTGGGTGCATAAATATTGACAATTCTTATATCTTCTTGTTGGATTGTCCCCCTTTATTATTATAAAGTGTCTTTCTTTGTCTCTTGTTATAGTCTTTTAAAGTCTAGTTTGTCTGATATAAGTATTGCTACTTTGGCTTTCTTTTGACATCCATTTGCGTGATAAATGTTTCTTCATTACCTCACTTTCAACCTGCAGGTGTCTTTAGGTCTAAAATGAGTCTCTTGTAGGCAGAATATAGATGGGTATTTTTTTTTTTTTGTATCCATTATGACTCCTTATGTCTTTTGATTGGACCATTGAGTCCATTTACATTCAAAGTAACTATTGATAGATATGTATTTATTGCCATTTTATTACTTATTTCGTGGTTGTTTCTGGAGATTTTCTCTGATCATTTCTTGTCTTTCTCTTTTTCATGTTTTGCTTATTTTCTTTAGTGATATATTTGGATTTTTTTCTTTGTTCTTTGCATGTTTATTAGTGATTTTTGATATATGGTTACCATAACCTCTTCTGCAAATAGCAGTCTATATGAAGATGATGTTCACTCAAGGTTGAACTCATTCTTTTTTCCTCTCCTGTCTACATTTTAGGTATATGTTTTATTTTATACCATTTAGTATGTGAGATCCTTGACTGATTATTACAGAAATATTAATTTTTACTGCTTTTGTATTTCCTGCCTTTAAATTGTCACTTTTGGTCTCTCTTTTCTACTTGAAGGGTCCTCTTTAATATTTCTTGCAGGGCTGGTTTAGTGGTCATGAACTCCTTTAGTTTTTGTTTTTCTGAGAAACTCTTGATCTCTCCTTCTATTTTGAATGGTGGCCTTGCTGGATAGAATATTTTTAGGTGCAGATTTTTCCTACTCAGTACTTTGAATATATCATTCCATTCCCTTCTGGCTTGCCAGGTTTCTATTGAGAACTTTCCGGCTAGCCTATGCGGTTTCCCTTGGAAGTTGAAGACTTCATTTGTTTTGCTGCTTTTAAGATTTTTTCTTTATCACTGTATTTTGCAAATTTAATTATAATATGTCTTGGTGTTGGCATGCTTTTATTGATTTTGATGGGAATTCTCTGTGTCTCTTGGATCTGGATATCTGTTTCCTTCCCCAGATTAAGGAGGTCTTCAGCTATTATTCCAAAATAAATTTCTGCCGGTTTTTCTCTCTTCTTCTTCTGGCACTCCTATAATATGAGTGTGATTACATTTGATGGAGTCACTGACTTCCCGAATTCTATTCTGTTGTTACATAATTCTTCCTATTGTCTTTTGTTCAGCTTCATTACTATCCATTACTTTGTCTTCTAGGTCACTTCTTTCCAGCTTCTAGGTCTTTCCACTTCTAGGTCTCCTTCTTTCCAGCCTGCTCTTTACTGCATCTAGCCTTTTTCAGACCTTGTTTGTCCCATTCTTCATCTCTGATTGATTCTTTTTAAACTCTTTTATCTCTGTGGTAAGGGTCTCACTGATGTCTTCCATTCTTTTCTCAAGCCCAGTGAGTATTCTTATGATTGTTGCTTTAAATTCTCCGTCAGACATGTACTTGTATCTGTTTCACTGAGATCTCTGGCTGTGACCTTATCTTGTTCTTTCATTTTGGAGAAATTCCTCTGTCTTCACATTTTGTCTAAGTCTCTATCTTCTTCTCTGGGTTAGAAAATCCAGTTAGGTCTCCTGCTCCTGAAAGAAGCAGGAGCTTCTTTATGAAGAAGAGGTCATGTAGTGCTGAGACCCTGGCGCTTCAAGGAAGTGTCTCCAGTGTGTGCTATGTGAGCTCCGCTGTTGTGTTTTGGTTGCTCTGTCCTTCAGGCCAGTCATCTGCAGAGGCTCTCCCTTACCTGCTGTGGGCAGTGTTTGGTCCCTGGTGTGAATGTGGTCAGTTTTAACTAAGTGTGTTCTTGTCTGCTTGTGAAGTGAGACCTGACCACCTCCACCAGAACTGAAGCCCTACAGAACTCTCTGGTCAGAAGATGTGGTGCAGGCAGGGATTTGTGCTGGTCTTTGAGGGGAGGGACCTGCCATGCTGAGACTGAGGCAAGTGTGATTGAGAAGAGCAGTTCCACTGGGGTGCAGGGAGGGGATGTGTGGGGCTTGGTGTAAGCAAGTTAGGCAGCCAGTGTCCCTGCTGTGCTGCTTCTTGCAGGTGGCTCTGTGTATATGCTGAGGGGCAGGGGAGGGAAATGGTGTTGGCCACCTCCTTTGTTCCTAGAGACATGTCTCCATGAATGCTGCCTCTCAGAGACACACTCTGAGAAGAGGGAATAATTTCCCTACGGTGTTCCCCAGGCACTCTTCAGATAGTTGTTTCCACATTGTCTGCCACAGGTTTTTTTGTATACCTTCTCTCCAGGAGCAGTATAGTACCCTCCAGGTCTATCCTATCCAAGCCTACTGACCTTTAAAACTCCAGGCTTTAAGACCTGCTGGTTGCAAGAACTTCCAAAATTCAGCCCCTTTCATTTTCCAAGCCAATGGCTTTGGGGAAATGTTCTCCTTGTGTATTTCCCTGTGTACTTCTCTCTCTCTCTCTCTCTCTCTCTCTCTCACTCACTCTTCTCCAAGACCACAGCTTCTTTTCCTCCATAGCAGCTGTGATCTATTTCTCCCCCAAACGATGGCTTTGCATTTATTACCATCTTTGATTTGGCCTCTTCTCTCCCTTTAGTTGTGGAGTGCATTCTACCAGTTTTCAGGTCAATTTCTGCGGTATTTAGGATGATTTGATAGTTATCTAGTTGTATTTGTGGGAAAGGTGAGCCTAGGGTCCTCCTACTCCACTGCCATCTTCCTGCTCCCTCTCAATCTTCACATTTGTAGAGTGTGGTGGGAGTCACAGAATGTGATTACACACATCATTCATTTCATCTTTGAAACAGTCCCATAAGGAAGGTTCTGTTTTCACCTCCACTCTCACTGAGGAAACTGACGCTCAGAGAGGTGGAAGAATATTCAGGCGAGTTAGCAGAAGAGTGGAACTAGAGTTATTTCATTGCATTTAATGCAATGTGTGAAGAGCGTCTGCTGGTCATCAGTGGGGAGTTGGGTGTAGAGGGAACAGAAGTGGATAAAATGCAGCTCATCTTTTTTGAAACTGAAATGGTTGGATCTCTGCTCTGCTTGGATGCAGGAAAGGACAGCAATGTAATCATCAGGTTGTGTTCCCCTGGATGAGCCATACCTGGGCCCTTGCTGCTTTGTGCCATGCTGCCTGAGGCTGAGTACACTTGGAGGCAGGAGGTTGGGCCCGGGCTAAGCCCCTGGGCTTTATAGAGAAGCTAGGTGAGCCTTGAATGGTTTTTAATTTTGATCATTTGTTAACCAAGTTTAGTAGTAGTTTTAGTTTAAAAGTCATCAACCCCTTTAAGGATTTGATGGGACCATACTCAAAGAAATGCAATATGCACATCATTTTTTTTGCTGGTTTTTTTTTTTTTTTTTTTTTTTTTTTTTTTTTTTTTTTTTTTTTTTTTTTTTTGCTAATTGTGAGTCAACTTTAAAAGTCTATAAATAAACCCCAGATTTAAAACTCCTATTCTAATATTTATTCCAATCTTAAAACTATGTAATTTTGAAATAAATAAAAACACTTCTCTTGCTCTAATATTTATTCCAATCTTAACACTCTATAATGAAGAGAGGTTTTTAAAAATGGATAGATCAATCCCAGAGTGAGAAAGCTATAACTTCTAACAAGTGTTGACCTACTTATGTTTGTTCACTGAATTGTGAAATTTATCATATAATTTTAAGAAAGTGGTTTTAAAAGGATCCTTTTTGCACTTAAAAAAGGTTAATGCCGGGGTGCCTGGGTAGCTCAGTCGGTTAAGCGTCCGACTTCGGCTCAGGTCATGATCTCGCGGACCGTGAGTTCCAGCCCCGCGTCGGGCTCTGGGCTGACAGCTCAGAGCCTGGAGCCTGCTTCTGATTCTGTGTCTCCCTCTCTCTCTGACCCTCCCCCGTTCCTGCTCTGTCTCTCCCTGTCTCAAAAATAAATAAACATTAAAAAAAATTAAAAAAAAAAAAAGGTTAATGCCTATGCCCATTAAGAAGCACAATTCTGATGGTGATTTTGTTTTGGGAAAACACTGGATTAAATAAATTTTGAACATATGTCCAATAATATTTAGCACCTTATATTTGTAAAAGAGTGTAAGAAAGTTTAAAACCCTTTAAAAATATATTAATATGGGGCGCCTGAGTGGTTTAGTTGGCTGAGCGTCCGACTTCCGCTCAGGTCATGATCTCGTGGTTTGTGAGTTCGAGACCCACTTTGGGCTCTGTGCTGACATCTTAGAGCCTGGAGCCTGCTTCAGATTCTGTCTCCCTCTCTCTGCCCCTCCCCCGCTCACGCTCTGTCTCTCTCTGTCTGTCAAAAATGAATAAACATTAAAAAACATGTATTTGAACTTTACAATCTGTGTATTAGGCAAGGGAAATAGTATGTTAATTTATAGATAAGAAAAATAAAATTGGAGGGACGTTAAGTGGATCATCTAGTACTACATGAGGAGAAGAACACACCCAGAATTTGAATTTAGGCTTCCTTTTTCTCATTCAAGGCTCTGTCAATTATATCATACTACATATATTCTCTCCGAAGAAGGATTATATGAAATGGTATTTTCTACTCTAAACTTCTTCTGTTGCACATTTGTATGAAAGTTGTTTTTTTAATCTTTAGAAATTAGATTTTTAAAAATTTCAGTATAAACAGCATAATGTTAAATTGCTAGCTTTTGTCTTTTTTTTCTTAGCTCTCCATGGACTAGAAAAGGAAAATATTTTTTTCTCAGAGTGAAAATAGATCCTGGTGTTTTTTGGACTCTTCCTAAGATTAATTCACCAGATAATTACCAATAAAAAAACACAGCCCAAATCTTATTTGCATGTATAAATGTTTCATTACTTCATGAAATGCACCAAAGGATTTTAACGTGACAGAAATGAACTCAAAGGAGAATTGCCTGTCGAAATAGAAAATGTCAGTATTTTGTGGGGGATAAGTACTACTCACTTTATCCATTTCCTGTTTGAAAGTGGCAAACACCTCATTGCTTTTTGTCAGTGTGTTCTGGAACTCTTCAAACCTTCCGGAATAGAGAGTAAGCTGTAAATAAGGGGAAAAGTACATCTATTTTAGAGCTGCTTTAAGCATGCTTCCAGAACAAAACAACATGGCATCGTTCATTATTTGAGAAGAAAGTTGATTTAAAGGAATCCTCAACACAATGTTAACAATGTGTTCTGTTCTTTTGTTTACTGTGATATCAACCTAAGTCAGTGAGTATGATTGAAGTACGTCTTTAAAGAAAGAAAAAATGAAATAAGAAAATGTGTCATCACCATTTCATTACAGCCTAACTTTTCCCAACACACTTTTACTGAGCACCGAACATACACATTGACTCTATGTGCAAAGCATTGAACATGTGGCTACTGTTTCTGAGAGACATGCACACGTGATGGGAAGATAATCTCAAAGACAACTTGATGATGGGACAGGGAATACTACAAAGTGCCAAGTCTGTTCAGGATGGTGTCAGTCAGAGAAGGAAGTGAGCATGGCAGGTGACCACGTAAGCCATGTTTTTGTGGAGACGGCGAACCTTGAACTTGGTCTTGAAAGAAGTGAGAATGTAGAGAAATGAAAAGAAGTGGTAGAAAAGGTGGACCCGACATGGGTGGCTGCAATCATACCCATTTCAGTCCATTTGGTTTTGTATGTTTAGAAGACAGTGTTATAGCCAATAGCAGTTAAATGTCCCTGTTCATCAAAATCAGTTTATTATACGAATTTTCTACAGATGGAAAGAATGAGTCTCGAGGAAGGAATGCCTTTTCTAATATGCACACAGTATAAAACATCGTATGGGTTAGCATTGGCAAGCGTGTGGTTCACTTCAGGAGTACTTTCTACCTCTATATCCTTATTCCAAGGAATAAGGTAATTTGAAGTAGGAATAAAGCAGGACAGGGAAGGAGAGTGTGTTAAGTACTTGATTGCTAGAGACAGCAATACACTAATTCAATCTTGCTTTAAAAAATGATTTTAGAATAGCATGCTATGAGTGGAGATTTAATATGGATGACACATGTTAGGAAAGCCTCCATTTTCGAATGAGTATTTGGTACTGTTGAATGCTGGAGCAAACCCCAGCTCCTCAAATGGGCACCAAATGACTAGCTGGTGGTACCTGGGACACTGTCTTTTTGAAAGAGAAAAACTACTAACTGGAAGCCAGTAGACTGGAGAGTTCCCAGTCTTGGGGGTGAGAGGTAGAGAGTATGGGAATCAGACTACCCCTAGAACCCAGAAAATCTGCTGATCGAGAAGGGGTCATTCTCAAATGTTGTAGAATAGCAGAGATTTCACTGCAGTAAACAAGAACAACGGAATGATAATGTAAAACCTTTCTGCAGGATAGATTTTCCAGAGAAAAGTGAAACAACATCTGAGTATCGTTTTGAAATCACATGTTGGTTCCATGCATATGTGACAGAGCTTGGGGGCAACTCTGGTGGCCTACATTTTTTTTCTCATGATTCCTTGGCACCCAGATGAAAGAAGACTGAATAAAAGGGCACCAGGGAGTTCATGGCCAGGAAGGTGTAGTAGGGTTTTACACACACACACACACACACACACACACACACACACACACACACTGCATAAGACAATCCTTAGTCATTATGTGCAACGCACTCTTGACATATTCTGTTTAGTTCTGTTTCACTTTTTTTGAAGTAGTGGCTGGGATCCACTGAATTGATTTCAGGGCCCTTGAGTAGGTCAAGTCCTTAATCTGAGGATAAACTTCTACTGGACTGGCTATCTATACTACTGCACATAATCTAGTGGTCCAGGGTGAGGACAGCTACTCCCAGCTGATCCTCTCCACCTTCATTTGCATTCTTGGTTACATATCCCGTGAAGTTGCTTTTTCTTACTTTCTCTCCTTTCTTTTCCCCACTTCTCGGGAATTCCTGCAGAGTTACGGGAGGGTGGCAGATACTACCGTCCCTGGAGCAGGTCCTCTCAAAGCCACTCACGCAGCCGGGTCATTGCAGGCTGCAGACAGGCAGAGCAGGAGTGGGCGCGTGCACAGCCCATCTTGCTGGCACAACCTTGACAGTATCAGCAGGAGCAACCGTGCCCACCTCGGCCAGCTTCTCCCCTTCCTTTGGGCAAAAATGGTCTTTTGGGTGTATACATCGGGCAGGTTTTGTTTCCTTTCCTCATGTTTTCTTGTGGCATGGGGGAAGGCAGACACACCCAGAGGGCCAGGAGGAAGTGTCTCATTTCATTACCACTTCTTCTGGCCTTTTTCTAGTGACTGTTTTTTGTTTTTGTTTTTTTTTTTCTTCTCTCCACTGTTGTTCTTTCTTTTTAATTGGGGCAAATACATGTAATGTAAGAGTTACCATCTCAACTATTTTAAATGTACGGTTCGGTATTGTTAACTGCATCCACACTGTCGTGTAACCAATCTCCAGAACCCTTTCATCTTGCAAAACTGCAAGTCTCTACCCATGAAACAGTAACTCCACATTTCCCCTTCTAAGTACTGTTTTTCATACTCAGCCTTTCTTCCTATTTGACCTCTTTGTGGCAGGTGGCAAAACCTGTGTGGATTATGCTTGTCTCAGGTAAACAACTCTAAAACTCTTTACTTGTGCTAACTCAAAATGGACACTTCTTGTTTACTTTGTGGATATTTGTTTGGTATATGTTCCCTCTCACTATCACGCTGACATGATGCATGTTTGGTTTCATGTGTCATATTCCTGCTCTTATTTTGGTATTTCAGAGAAGCATGGAAGGGACATCCAGAGGTCATCCACAGCACTCCTGCCAGAGGCAGAAATAGAAACGGACTGTTCTAGGGTGAGTCACCACAACAGTTGCTGCAACATTTTCACTGTTATGTGGGTGAGCGACTCATACGTTCTTTTAATGGGGCACCAAATTTTAATTACAAACGTTCACAGCATACAGGAAACAAAAGCATGTCCAGGAATTGTCTTAGCGAACTTGTGGTATTTGATTTGGGAACACGTCCAATTATAATAGCAGTTGCAGAGTAATGTCCTCTCATCCTAGATACATAAGGTGAGGACTTCCGGTTTAAAGGCTGTGATTGCTGTCCTTAATTTACCAAAAAAAGGAAGGAAAGAAAGAAAGAAAGAAAGAAAGAAAGAAAGAAAGAAAGAAAGAAAAAAGAAAAAAAGAAAGGAAAAAGAAAGAAAGAGAGAAAAAAGAAAAAACTAAATAAAGCCAAACCAAATTTACTCAATGATCTTTCCCCTTGGGCAGTGTTTTTGCGGCTGCGTGGCTGCGTTGGTATTGCTGACTTTCCACATCCACCATCTTCATCCTTATCGATCCAGTGAACACTCTATTTGTAGTGGCAGTTGTATTCCATTGATCATTTCTGACATTTACTCCGTTGCCATGGTTTGTATAACTGAAAGCCAGACATCTCTTTGCTAAGTGAGAATCATGCCCCAACCTGGCAAGCTGTTGTCTTATGGCTGAAGGTGACTTCATCTAGTTAAACGTAATCTGTCCTTGATATTTCCTTAGCTCAGAATGTGGAAATGGGGACTTGAGCCCTCTTGCTTCCTACCACCCCACTCCTTTAAAGCAGTTCTAAACCCGAAGGAAGGGTTCAAGTGCTCTGCAATCAAATCTGTGATTGATTTTGTTTTTCAAGGTCTAAAGGTTTTAAAGCTACAACATCGACAGTTTTCAAGAGGAATTTTTAAACATTTTTATACATGGGGTTTGGGGGCTACTATATTCTTCTTGAAGTCATTGTTGAAGTTTTGAAAAGTGCCTTGAAGACAGGAGACAAAGGGGTGTCCTTGCAGAGAGAGCCACACGCCACAGAAAACAAGGCAATGGAGGAAAAGGCGGGGTTAGCCCAGCTTAGGCCACACTGCTTCTGCTCTGGAAGCTGTCTACATTCAGGAACTAGAGCTGCACAAGGTCTCGAGATCATCTTTTCCGGGGGTTCATAAACTTTTTTGTAACCAAAGACTCCTTTTGTCTCATATATCTCTACGTAGATCCTCACCTATGAAATAATAGTAATGTTAGCTCATACACTAATTGTTAGCATTTTTATTAGTAGTATTATCACTGTGTTTAATTAGGTAGGGACTTTTGATTCTCTTATGGATTAGTCTATCTCCAGCACCTAGAACCTTGTCTAGCACTGAGTAGGTGCTCAATAAATATTGGTTGAATTAATTATGCTAATTATGGGCCAGGTATGGGGCTAAGTGCTTTGCATGCATAACTTGAAGGCAAACTGCATATCTTACATATTCATGAACTCATTTTCCTTTTATAAACTTAACCAAACATGTGAATAACTGCCATATAGCTGCTGAGTGAGAACTGATATGTCAAAAACAACTATATCTTATTTTCTTTTATCATCTTTTATTTTTATTTTTAGAGAGTGTGTGTGAGTGGGGAAGAGGTACAGAGGGGGAGATAGAATCCAAAGAAGGCTCCATGCATAGTGTGGAGCCTGATGCGGGGCTCAATCCCACGACTCTGGGATCATGACCTCAGCTGAAATCAAAACTTGGGCGCTCAACTGACCGAGCCACCCTGGCACCCCCCAAAACAACTATATTTTAAATAGTAGCTGCTGTTATGCTGTTATGTTTTGGAAATACTGAAAAGTAATGAGCCTCCCAGAGGTTAGAGAACTCCAACTTGGGATCATGGGTGCATTACAGTATTCTTATTTTACAGGCAAAGAAATTTAGGTTTAGGGAGATTTCGATGAATTACACAAGGTCAGACAAACTCTGAGCAGAAGAGCCAGGACCCTGACCCTGGTCTCTGGACTCTGTCAATATCAAGGAATGAATGAGGAACATTGGCAAGTCTAAAAACTCCTGGTAGATGCTTTTTCAAATTTGAGGTGTGGCATTGGATCATACCCTTATGTTTCATTCCACAGGTCATTTAAGGCCTAGATTCTGATGCCAGCCGAATGAATGACTCTCTAACCCCATGTCTAATGGTATTAATCTACTCTTCTCAAGTTCATTATCACCATTTATCGAGAGGAGTAGAGATTGCTTGTCATAGATGATATGAACAATGAATAGCTTCAAATATTGTCTCTCGTACCCCTCAAGGCTCTGTGCTGAGAATAGTACAGAGATAGGGCCAGGAGCCCTGCCTCAATTCTCTGGAGTCTCTTCAAGACTGTGAGGTCCTTTCCCCCTGCCTGCCTCTGTTTAGAGAGTGGCCGCTGCCTACCGCCTACCCCACAACCATGATGTGATGGTTCTGGGATTCCCTAAAGGATGCCCTTGAGTTTGTAACTCTAGATTTTAGTTTTTTAATTCTGGACCTGCTGATTTTATTAACAGTAAGAAACATGGTTCAAATCTCTATGTGATTAGTATTTACAAATGATTTTGATATGTTATTTTATGTTATTGAGGGAAAACAATTTATCAATACATTCGGGACACACACTGGAAAAACTATGCATTAGGAAGGTGAGCTATGAAAATGCGATCTGCATTTTTGTCTGCAGTGGTATAATTTGTGATTTTATTACCCACAAATAAATTTATTTGTGAGTGTCTTATCTTTTCTCATATGCTTTGTAAAAAATGAACAAGTATTCATACAAGCAAGTTTTCAATGAACTTGTTCATTCGTATAATGAACAAAGTTTTTGTTTTTGTTTTTGTTTTTACAGTGGACAAGTGTATAGCAGTCAGCACATAAACATTTACAAGTGAATTATCCAAATCTTAAATTAACAGCTGCCCAGCTCGCCAGGCTTCTGGTTTCCTCACTTTCTGTGAATTTGCTCTACGTGACTTTACAGTGTCTTTAGCATTGGCTCATTTCTCCCAGCAGGGGCGCTAGTGTCTCTCTCTGGCTCAGACCTAGGATGCCTAACCCAGAACCCGACAGGCAACTTTTGCCAGAAGGGGCAGAGCCCCAAGGGCAAGGGAGGGATGGATAGAGTCATCTGTTGCACGAGGCTTTTTATCTTTGAGTCTGAAATATGAATTCTTGTAGTCTAATCAAAACACACACATGACATCACAAAGCCAGATCAAAACTGTTCCCTACTTGTCCATCATCCCTAGTCATTTATCACTGACAAGGCCAACCTCCGATAGCACAGGAACTTTGGTGCTGACTTTATCTTCCTCATTTCTTTTGATTATAAATAATATCAAATAGGTAAGGATACTTTCAGTATTGAGAGTTCTAGATGGTGCATGTGATCCGTTCACATTTTATTCTTACTTTAATAGGATCACGGGGAGGAGAGAGAGAGAGAGATGACGTATTATGAACAGATAGGCAGGAACCAGGACACCAACTCATTCCGATTGCCCGTCGGGGGCCCTCATTCGTATGTCAGCAAACCTTTTGACTCGATGTTGTTGTTGCGGACCATTTATTTTTCTCAGGTATAATGTGGTGCTTTTATTTTTACTTTAAAATAATAAATATGAAGTTATTCTTCATTTCTAACTCCTGCTCCCCTCGCCCCCGCCACATGTTAAGGCCTGGTGGAGAGTACCTTTGGTTCATAGCCTGTTAATGTGGCAACAAGGAGAGCACACCCCATGCATGGTTGTCCCCCCGCAACCCCCCATTTCACCTGAGCCTGCAGGACTGTCTCTTGTTCCTTCAGCACTTTGGCTTGAAGTTTCCACTCTGCTGCCTGGTTCAGCAACTGTGAGAAGAGAGAACACGTGGAAAGATTGTCAGATTGCTCTTTACGTTACCATTTGGTTATAATTTGTGGATGAAATGGAATAACTTGCTAATTAACCCTCTTAAGTAGTTTTTTGGGAGCTTGGCAAAGTATCTAAGAAAGCTAAGAAAACAGCGTCTAAAAAGTTGGATTCTCAACTAAAGATTTGTGGTTCTTAGGGATAAAAGAGAAAAATAATCTTCAACTCAAGCATAAATCACACAAAATTTAACCTCCCACCAAATTCTGGAAAAGTCTAGCAATCCTGTTCAGTCATCATTCAGTCCCTGCTTGAACATTTCCAGAACCCCCCCTCCCCCTGCCAGATCATTATTGTGAGCAACTGTTGCTTTATGTTGAACTCAAGGTTATTCTCCTAGACCACAGTTCTCCACCATAGCATGCACCAGCGTCTCCTAAGGAGCATGTTAAAATGCAGATCCCTCTCAAAGAATGTAAGTTAGGAAGTATAGGTGTGATTCAAGTCTGTAGTTAGAGCAAATAAACAAGATGGTTTGGGATTTGGTGGTCCATGGATTATATTTTGAGAAACACTGAGTTACAAACTTGACCTATTATTCCAAATCTTGTATAAGATTTACAAAAGAAGTCTCATTCCTCTTCCACGAGGCAGCCTTTCAAATACAACCAAGGCTCTCATATCAAAGATAATCAGAACTGGAAGCTGACAGATTGAATTGAAAATGTTGTTCTAGACATAAATATGACATACACATATGTAAAACATGTTATTTGAACTTAAGATATATGTTTACTTATTGATTTTTATATAAAGCTATGGTCTTTGTTTTGGGTATGGGTCTTCTTTCTTTTTAAGTAAGTTATTTATTTATTTATTTATTTATTTATTTATTTATTTATTTATTTTGTGAGAGAGAGCAAGAGAGAGTGTGTGAGGAGGGAAGGGGCAGGGAGGGAGAGAATCTTAGGCTCTGTGTCATGAGCACAGAGCCTGATGCGGGGCTCAATCTCATGAACTGTGAGATCCTACCTGAGTCAAAATCAAGAGTTGGATGTTTAACCAACTGAGCCACCCTTGGGTATGGGTCTTCTGACTGGCATTCAGAGAAGCTTTTTGTTGTTGTATATACATTAGTTTTTTAAACAATAGTACTAAAACCTAAAGACTTAAGATTATTTGTGAAGAAGCTTGATTGGATAATTCTCTAGAGTTTTACCACTTTCTCCAAGTCCTTTATAGCTACTCCCATCTAACTTGACAATTGTTTTGTGCTATTTGGCATTTCAAAGCATTAAGCATCATTTTCATAGAAACAGTTCTTTCTTTTCACACTTACATTTCATCAGTTTCTACACCATTCTGTTGGTTTTCATAACACAAAATCAAGAAAGAAAAGGTTTGGGTGCAAAGAGCTGATTTGTGGTCAGCGCCGTCTTCCTTAACTTGGGAACCCATGTGTAGACACTGGAGTAGCTGTCCAGTCACAGGATTCAACATACTGAGGGATCTGTTAGTGTGTTTACAGACAGAATGGTGGACATCATGAGTTAATCTGATTAGTCACGTAGGTGGCCATCAGTTTAAGAAGTTTCTACTCCAGGGGTGCCTGGGTGGCTCAGTCAGTTAAGCATCCAACTTTGGCTCAGGTCATGATCTCATGGTTTGTGAATTCAAGCCCCATGTTGGGCTCTGTGCTGACAGCTCAGAGCCTGGAGGCTGCTTCGGTTTCTGTGTCTCCTTCTGTCTCTGCCCTCCCCTGCTTGTGCTCTGTCTCTCTCTTTCTCTCAAAAATGAATAAACATTAAAAAAAAAAAAAGTTTCTAGTGGTTTTGAAGATGGACTGACTTATATATTTTTTCTTTATGCCTATTTAAAAAAATGCCCATTTTTTTGGTGATCAGAACAAAAAATGATAAAATCATTACATAAAAAAACTTGGAGGCATCTCTTTTCTTATCCACGTTTATCTTTTTCTCATGGCTCAATGCCTCCATTTGTGAAAATGGGTTGTATCTCTTCCTCCATGCCTCCCAGAGAACAGTGAAAGTTCATTGTTATAGAAGCGCCAAGACCCACCCCATGGAGGTCTGAGGCAGCTGTGGAGTACAAGACCTGTAGGGTCCCCTCTGGCCATCTGAGCATGTGGCACGTTCTTCACTAAGCAGGCTCAGGAGCCCAGTTGTGGTGGGTGGTTCCCTGGCCGAGAGAGGAAGATGGCTGCCTGTTCTGCTTGGGATGAAGGAAGCCTCCAGCTCCAATTTGCTATTTCATTACTTGCAAAAAGAAGCATCATCGCTGGAATCTGGGTAGGTGGCCATCTTTGAAGAACTGAGGGGGCTAATTTTTTTTCTTTTTCTTTTTTTTTTACTTAAATCTGCTGTTTTGCTAAACCAGGGTAGAAAAACAGGGGAGTATGTTAACTTCTTGCTAAGGCTGGGTCACCTCAAAACGACCCCTACTCTCTTTCAAATGAATCTCTGCCTAGTTATTCCTCTGTCATGTCTCATGTGTTATGTGCCAAATGTAATGATATCCTATAGGAAGCATATTTTGCCTGACAGGGCAATTATGCCAATAGTGGGGCATCTGTTTTCTTGAATTCTGAATAATAATTAAGTGCTTTCTTATTTTGAGAGGTGGGTTGTAGATGGATTTAACAACTTAATCTTTTGTTAAGAGCGCATGGGCTTCTGCTTTGAGATTATCCAACGCCCACCAGGTTATGTTCTCCAAAATTCGCCCTTTTGCTGCCATGTGTGATAACCATAGTTATTATTAAATTGCTCTTCTAGTCTGATTTTCGGTAATTGCAAAGTTTGTGATCAATTACTAAATGGCCAAATTTGCATGATTAGCCCATTGATTGCATTTTAAATCCCTTTTCCCAGCAGCAGACGCACACTTCGACTCATGCCTCTGAAACACATGTCTGAGTGTGATGTATTATCACAGAGCTTGGGCTTTGGAGACAGACACATTGGAAATGTGATGTGTTGGGCAGTGTGACCAACACATATCCGTCACTTAGCAGTGTGTGACCTTAAACAAGTGGTATATCTTCTTTGAGCCTCAATTCTCTCCTCTGGAGACGGGCCCTACAGCTGGCTCAGAAGGTTTGGGGTTAATGAGATGTCATTAAAAGCCACCACTCAGTTTCTTAAACTCCAAAACTCAGGAGTCATCCTTGACTCTTCCCTTTCCTCACTGCCACCATCTTCAGTATAGAGCACCGACTGTTGGTTTTGTACTGAAAACGTAACTTCTGTCCGTGTCCAGTTCTCCTTATCCACTGCCATGTCCCCAAGCCAAGCCATCATCGTGTCTCCTCCAGATTGCTGCAGTAGACTCCTTGTCCCCTTTTAGTTCACTTTCCACCCAGGAGCCAGATTCATCGTTTAGAGATACAAGGCAGATCATGTTACTTCCTTAGCTAAAACTACCCAGACTTTCTCAGTATATTTAGAATAAAATCCAGGGGCGCCTGGGTGGCTCAGTCGGTTAAGCATCCGACTTCAGCTCAGGTCACGATCTCGTGGTCCATGAGTTCGAGCCCCGCGTCGGGCTCTGGGCTGATGGCTCAGAGCCTGGAGCCTGCTTCCGGTTCTGTGTCTCCCTCTCTCTCTGCCCCTCCCCCGTTCATACTCTGTCTCTCTCTGTCTCAAAAATAAATAAACGTTAAAAAAAAAGTTTTTTTAGAATAAAATCCAAACTACTTTCCCAAGCCTATAAAGCTACACAATTTGGCCCCTGCTTATGTCTCCAACTTCATTTGGAATCTTTCTCCTCCTGGGTCTACATGCTCTTGCTACTGTGACATTTTTCTGTATCTGGGGGACCCCAAGCTAGTTCCAGCATCAGGGTCTTTTTTGCTGCTACATACTGCTGCTGGAGGCCTCCTCTCTGCCTCCCTGTCACTAGGCAGGGCTCAGCTCAAGCATCCTCCCCTCTGGGAGGCGTCCTGGCCACCCAGTCTAATATAGGCTCTCCCTCCTTCTGCCCCTTTGCAGTTCCTCCTTATTTCTCTACTAGCACCTATTGTTATCTGAAATTTTACTTCTTTGTTCATTTCCTTGCTTATTGCCTATCTTTTCTTAGTTAGATTCTAGTCTCCATGCTGGGACACGCCTTTTTGGTCTTGTTCACTGCTAAACCCCGGTGCCTCGGGTGATGCTTAGCACAGGGCAGGTGCTTGAAAAAGATTTGTTGAATGGGTGCATGACTATTTTATGTAAAAAACCGTGTGGGTACAGTGCCTTCTACTGGCTGGCCAGTGTAGTTCTCCAGGGAAGCCCAGGTTCTCCCCATCGGTCTAGTGCTCTGTGACTATGATCAAAAACAACTTTCTCAGGGGTTCCTGACCCCCAGGCAGACTAGACAAGCACATTGACTAAACGATAAGTACATATTCCTTCTCGCGTTTGTGTCGCTCCTCTGCTTCCTTCATCATTTCTTGTGCCTGTTCCAGTTTTGCATCCACCAGCTTCTGCTGCAGTTCTCTGTGTTTAAATATTTTGTCCAGATGCTAAGGAAAAATAAATTGCACATATCAGGCTTGGCTTATTATTGGTGCTGAATAACGTAAAATAAAAAAAATAGCATCGACACACATGTTCTCCGGGTTTCAGGATTTAAAACACGGGGCGGGGGGGTTGGGGATAAATGCATCGGCATCACTTATGGCTCTATATAAAAGTCATAAGTTGGTGCAGTCCTCTGCATTTTGCATTATGCAAAGGTGGCTGCAAAAGGCAGAGGTGCCAAAGTTCAGTAATGTTAACCCCAGAAGCTCCCAGCATTATTTTTCTGAATTTAGCAACAGACTAGATACGAAGGTTAGTTATGATGCTAGATAGCAAGGTGATGCATACTGCAAGGAAGGGCTATGGCACCATCACTCAGTATCTCGGTGAGATCTGTAGATATAAAACCACCTTCAATCACATTAATACAATTTGTTGTAGTGAACTCTCTTCCACATTCTTGTCTCAAGGGTTGTGAGGCAGCTCTGGGGTACCAGCATGTAGCCCAGAGTCTGGGACTGGGTGGGGAGCCCCCCACTTCAACTCTGTTGGATGCTGGGCAAAACAAGGCTAGGGGTCACAGGTGAATTGATATGCAAATTGCTACTTCCTCCTCTACCTCTTTTGACCTCTCAACTGGCTTAGTGAAGAGAAGCTTCCAATTCTACTTTAGTGCAGAGAATTTCTTAGTCATTAGGAAGTCTAATCGGCAAGAGGATGCAAGGAATTCTAGCCTTGGGGCTCATCTAGAACCGATCCCAAGAATATACAACTGGTCTACTGGGTCTATTCTGTTCTTCTCTGGGATCCCTCTGAAGAGTATGGATTTTTTTTTTTTAGCTTCCTCCCTTTTGCTTCTGCCTGAGCCTCCACGTGGTGTAGGATTGATCTTAGTGATAAGACAAAACGGTAACACGGCATTTTGGTTTACTGTAAGGGGTTTCCTCAACTTATCTAACTGCTGCTTCTGTGTGCAACTGGCTCAGTTTCTTTCTTGATAAAATCCTCATGTTGCCAACAGAGCCACTCTGATTATGTTATGTGACATTTAAGGCAGACATTTTAATATTTGGGTGGGAAGAGGAAAATAATATATATAAAGATCTTGAGAGGGCCTCAGAAGTCTTCAAAATGTATTAAATATCCAGATATAACTTTGAAATAATAAAGGGCCCTTTTAATCTCCCTAATGTAAACTATTGAAAGCAAAACTCTTTTGGCTTTTGTGACAATGGGTAGGTGATTAACCTCATAGCCTATGCCTCCCATCTATATAATGTGGGTAATAGGGTATTATCTAGGGCATAAGGTTGTTGAGACCATGTAATGACACATTGTATGTAAAGTGCGGTACTCAGCACCTTCCCTGGCACCAATTCAGCACTGAATAAATAATACCATTAATATTATAATTATTACATCATTAATACTATTATTGGCTTGTGGAGCATATAGAATACAGACCCTTCATTTACATGACATGATGATTCTTAAGAAGGAGTGTGTGAGATATTTCTCTGTTCTATAGACAATGTTTTTTAAAATCGACAGATGCTATTTTCAAGGATAACTGTGCTGATGGCCTACTACTTCCTATTTATTGCTTTGCTCTGCAATGATTCCAGTTTTGAAGAAATCCCGTATGACTTTCAGCCAGGTATTTTGCAATACCTCCTGTTTTAATTTTGGCTACCAAAAGACATCTGATCCTAAATACTAATCAATTGAGAGGGCTGGCCATAACTTTCTTATTACCAAGTTCTCCACCTTCACAGCCCAGATCTGGATCTATATATAGTGCCCCTAAGTTGTTTGATGTGTTTCTCACCTCCTCTCTGAGCTCATACTGATCAATGATGCTTTTCAGTTTCTCTGCAAGCTCTGTGTTCTCCTGACACAGCTTCATGTTTCGCTCACTCTGCTGTTCAATCTGGGCCTGGATATCCGTCAGAGTAGTCTGGAAATGACTTGTGATCTCCTTCCTTTTCTCTTCTTCCTCACGTGCCCTCTGAAGGGTTTCCTCCTGTGGATAAAAAGCAAAGTCTTTTGTTATGCTGGTTTGCATGCACCTGGGTTTATAGAGCAGGGTTAGGTCCATAAAAGGAGGTTAGTGTGTAGGGTAAGCAGGACATTTTTTTCTCAGTTCTCTGGAGCTAACCTTGCTCAGCCCCAAAATAAATGTGTGAGCAAAGGTTTCAGTTGTAAATACACAGTCACTCAGAGCAGGTGCAATGAGGGCCTTGAATTTGATAGTTGGTGATGAATAGGCTTGTTTTAAAAGATGACGGGTCTCCTGCTGAGTGCATAAGCTGTAGCGATTCCTAACAAACACATAGTAACACGGTTTTGATTTCTTGTCTGTGGCCTGGAAAAAAGGCCACTCGGCTTTACTGATTGATGAGACAGATCCTGTGTTTCCTTGGTTTGGTGCAGCAAGAAGAATAATAGATCTTATATTCCTCTATAAAAAAAAACTACAGCATGTTAACTGCATAATTGTGTTACCCAAGTTTTGTAAATAGAAGTGATCGCAATGCAAACTTTCTCTTAGTAAGAAAAACTTTATCAAAAAGCTTGAAAAGGAAACGAAGATGGCTATAGATCAATTACAGCAATTCAAGAATGTAAAAAGAAATCTTAGAAAATTTGCTGGATGTTTTATTTCTGAAAGAACAATCAGTCCATGTGTCACATAGGGTAATTGAGATGTTCAATGTAAATTTTGAATCTGAAAGCAATATTATGTTTCAAATCTTTTTTAACTCTCAAATGAAACATCTAATTTTCCCCTCTTCCGCTTTGTTAACATGTAAGAATTGGAAATTAACTTTTATATCATTTCTGTTCTCTTTTCTCCTAAATCCAAACTTTGCCTTCATTGCTAACTACCAACAATGTGCCCAAATTTCCCCCATATCTATATTGAGAATTGTTTGCTTTGTGATGATTCCTCTCATTCTTTTAGAATCAAAGGGTTTAATCTTGCTCTATCATACCAAAGATAGAGACACTGCTGAAAAGTGATCCAGACATTTTAGGATGCCTTTCACTTCTGATTAATTGTTATTATGAGAGCTTGTTCATGGTTGGCAAGTAAAATTATACTACATTTAGTTGCCTCCCAATGATCAAATTATGTAATAGGAATTTTAAAAAGAAATAATGATTTGAATAGAAGGAATTGTGCAAATCTTTTTTTATGATAGTTGAATAATGTGATCAAAATAAAAACGGATGCTAAAAATTATGCTCTGGAAATATAGGAATTTATCAGTAAGTGTCCTTTTTACGCTACAATATTAACATATTCTCCAACTCTTATAGAATTCCTGATATCTGAATCATAATTAAGTCATGGTGTAAACATTGAATGACAACTTTTTAGGGGTATTATAGGAAATACCTACCCTTCTTAATCTGAGGAAATTAACTGAGGTATTGCCCTGAACTTTGTAGGCTAGCGCTTACTATATATATTTCGCTAAGAATGATTATGGCCAGCTGCTAAGAGTCACCGAATATACCTATGATAGTGATTGTCTCCTTACTGCTCCAGATTAGCTTAGAGGTCAACGGGTTCCTAGTTCTAGAACTACAGACTATTATCTGAATGCCATTTGCATTTGTATTCCATCCATTAATGAACGAGTAAATGAAAGAACCATCCCGTGATAGTCAGCAAGTCTGAGCTTGTCACTGGCAACTGGCTACCGAAAGGTGTGGGTGTTAGTGTGGTATTAAACACAGGTCAAACCATCATAGCACCTAATCCTGGCCCAAAAAATAGCATTTTGCATTTTATAGTAGTTTCTTTTGAGAGAAAAATAAGTCTAGCAAAATTTTATAAAATTTGATTCTATGATAAAGAATTTGTAATAATTTGGACAGTGTCAGAGGTAAAATTTTCAAAGTGGAAATTCAAAGTGGAAATTAGTAATGCCAGTAAGATTGAGAGGCAAAGTCTGAAATAACTAAGAAAACAGACTGAGATGCATCACTGTGCATCTCAGAACTGGTGCTATGCTCTGGCACATCCTTCATAAGTATACAGTAAGTGTTTATTCAATGAACCAATAAATTAATAATTTACATACAGACATGAGTAACTTGGACTAGATGAGTCCTATAGTCCTTTCCACTTAAATTCTGTGATATTCTCATTTACTAAATATTTCATTTACTAAAATTGTGTTTCCTGAAACACTTAGCCATTGCTTAGTGGACAGTTGTTTCTCAGTATAGTTTGAAGCTCACATTTATTGCTTCAAATATATGAATATTTTGTTGAAATAAACCCATGTCTCAGAACTTCACTTGTCTTTTTCTAAATTATTCTAAATTATGAGCTTTTGTGGGGTTTTTTTTTTTTGACTCACTGAAGAATCAATTTTAATAAAGAACAATAATAGTTAGGGGCACTTGGGTGGCTCAGTTGGTTGAGCGTCTGACTTCAGCTCAGGTCATGATCTCACGGTTCATGAGTTTGAGTCCCACATTGGGTTGGCTGCTTCAGGGCAGAGCCTGCTTCAGATCTTCTGTCCTCCCCGCCCCCTCCCACCCCTCCCCTGCTCACCTTCTCTCTCTCAAAAATAAGCATAAAAAAATAGTAATAGTTTTTTTGGTGGGAAGAGCCTGGCATGCATTCTTTTTCTAGATCTTCCCAAGCTCTCAGCATATGGATTTTAGATGTAGATATACTTAGGTTGTTTCACTAGTATGGCTAAGGAAGCTCATACCACTTTGACCCTTCTACAGATAATAACTATAAGGTCTGGACAAGATGCAAGAAACAACACTTAGAAACACTGGAGAACTGAAGATAGAATCAGGCAGATGCTAGAAGGAAGCTGACCCCTGTAAAAAAGAAATAGTATACTGTAAGTTTCTCAATTTTTTAAAACAGCTTTTAGCTTGAATGAAGACTGAAATTGGCAGTTGCATAGGATGGGTAAAATTCTCATCGAAAACCTACCTACCATGTTTCTGGTCCGAGGAATGAAGAGTTACGGGCAACTACAGCCACTGAAAGATGATAGGAGGAACACTTGGGTGGCTCAGCCGGTTAAGCGTCTGACTTTGGCTCAGGTCATGATCTCAGTTTCAGGGGCTGAGTCTCACACTCTGTTCTGACAGCTCAGAGCCTGGAGCCTGTTTCAGATTCTGTGTCTCCCTCTCTCTCTCTGCCCCTCCCCCACTCGCACTCTGTCTCCCTCTGTCTCAAAAATAAACAAACATTAAAAAAAACTAAAAAAAAAAAAAAGAAAGAAAGATGAGAGGAGATTCTCAAAAAAGAGAGAGTCAGAGAGAGAGCCTTAAATTCTGTGAATAAATTCTGCCCAAATCTTTGGGTGACCCTGAAACACACATGTGCAGGGCAGACTCAAAGCAGCCTAATTAAGAAAAAAAGAAATGAACTGAGTTTGAGCTGCTGCCCAAGAGAGAGAATTTGCAGTTTGACTCTAATCAAGTTAATTGCCTGCTTAAAAAGAACAACAGCAACAACAATAACGTTCTTCAAAGGGTATAGTAGAATCTATATGCTACACAACACAACAGCTGCAACATCCAGAGTATAGTCTACAGTGACTAGATATATAAAGAACTAAGAAAATGTGACCCATTCTCGTAAGAAAAGATAATCAGAGGAGGCCTATTCCATAATGACCCAGATGTGGAATTAGCAAGGGAGAATATGAAAATAGGTGTTATAAGTATGCTTAATGATTATAAAGGAAAGTATTATCTTAATGAATGAAAAGATAGGAAATCTAAGACAGAAAAAAATCTATAAGAAAGAACCAAGTGGAAAGTCTGCAGTTAAAAGTTACAAAATATGAAATTCACAAATCACTGGGCAGACTTAGAGCAGAGTGGAGATGGCAGAGGAAAGAATCAGTGAATGGGAGCTAGACCAATATAAACGATCTAATCTGAAGCTAGAAGAAAAAGGATTGGTGAAGAACATGAAGAGAGACCAAGGAACGTGTGTGGGACAATAGCAAAAGGTTGAACACACATGAGGTTAGAATTTTAGGAGGAAAGGAGAGAGAATGAAACATAAAAAATACTTGAAGAAAAATGGTTGAAACTTTACCAAAATTGGTGAAGGACATAAATTACAGATGCAGAGAAGCTTGGCAAATCCCAAATAGGATAAATATGAAGAAAACTGCAGCTCAGCATATAAAGTGGTCAAAACTCTAAAAACCGATGATCAGTAGAAAAACCTTGAGAGTAGCCAGAGATAAATGGCATTATTGCATACTGGGGGACAGCACTTCAAATTATTGTTGATTTTCATCAGAAACTATGGGAGGTTAGATTACAGAATATAGAACCTATAAAAGGCTGAGAGAAAGAAAAAAAAGAAAAACAGGGAAATCTTGCCAATCCAGAATTTTATATCCAATAACCATAACCTTCAAAAATGAAAACAAAATAAAGACATTTTTAAAGATTAAAGATAAATACATAAGAGAATTAATTGCCAGCACACTTCTATGGCAAGAAATAGTAAAGGAAGGTTTTCAAGCTGAAGGGAATGACGGCAGACAGAAAGTTGAAGCTGCAGAAAGAATAAAAAATGTCCAAAATTTAAATATACGAGTAAGTAAAAAACAATTTTTACCTTTAATTTTTATGTTATTTTATTTATGATTATTATTTTTAATGTTTCTTTCTTTTGAGAGAGAGCAGGGGCAGGGAAGGGGCAGAGAGAGAGAGGGAGAGAGAAGATCCCAAGCAGCCACCATGCTCAGCACTGAGCCCAATGTGGAGCTTAATCTCACAACCATGAGATCATGACCAGAGCCGAAATCAAGAGTTGGACACTGAATGGGCTGAGCCACCCGGGGCGCCCCTTTGCCTTTAATTTTTTAAAAAATGCATATGATCATTTAAAATAAAAATGATAATAGTACCTTATGGGCTTTTTCAATGTATGTGAATGTAATACACATAACAATTATAGTTTGAAGGTGGGAGGCAATAAATGGACCAATTTAGGTTGCAGTGTTTCCACACCTTATGTGAAATGATAACAGTGTTGACTCCAGGTAGGCTGTGGAAAGTTAAGAATGTATAAGTAATCATGGAGCAAACACTGAATATACAAAGAAGTATAACTGAAAATCCAAGAGGTAAATTAGAACGGGATTTTATTAAAAATATTCAAATAATCCAAAGGAAAGCAGGAAAAGAACAGAGGACCCTAAAGCAGAGATGACAAATAGTAAATAAATAATAAAATAGTAAAAGTATACCCAACCACATGACCAATTACATTGTATGTTAATGGACTAGTACTCTAAAAGTGAGGTATTGTAAGAATGAAAATAAGTAAGGTCCAGCTATATACTGTCTACAAGAGGCTCACTTTAAATACAAAGGTACAGGCTTAGAAATAATTATGGAAAGAGATATACCATGCAAACAATAAGAGAAAACTGGAGGAGCTATGTCAACATCAGATAATATAGACATCAAGATAACAATTATTACCAAAGGACATCTCATAATGATAAAACAGTCAATTTATCAAGGAGACATAACAATCATAAATGTGAGGGGCACCTGAATGGCTCAGTCGGTTAAGCGCTCTACTTTGGCTCAGGTCATGATCTCACAGTTTGCGAGTTTGAGCCCAGCATCAGGCTCTGTGCTGACAGCTCAGAGCCTGGAGCCTGCTTTGGATTCTGTGTCTCCCTCTCTCTCTGCCTTCCCCCACTCATGCTTTGTCTTTCTCTCTCCAAGATAAATAAACATTAAAATTTTTTTAAATAAAAAACAATCATAAATGTGCATACACACCATATTAATACTTCAAAAACATGAAGCAAACATTTACATAATTAAAAAGATAAGTAGACAATTCCACAATTATACTAGGAGATTTTCTCAGCAGTTGATAGAACAACTAAACAAAAATTCAGTAAAGACAAATGCTCCAGAGCTAATTGTTGCTTGTGCAACATTACACCGTGGGCAACTGATTAGGATTGCCAAGTCTCAGTTTATTCACCAATAAAATGGAGGTGTTAACCCTTGTTAAGTTTATTCTGAAAATTAGATAAAATGACCTATGTAAGGCACTTAGCACAAGTCCTGGCATAATAATGATATTTCATTGTCCGCAACTGGAAGCTGTTAGTGAGGGCGTGGACCCTGTAGGTACAGGGTCTTTGCCACTTCCATCATTCTGTCTTTGAATGCTACCCAAAGAGCCCAAGCCACCCCATTTCATTCTTTAAATATCTTTGTTGATATATCTTTCTTTCCACTGTATCTGATTTAATTTTTATCTCCTTACAATGCAACACTACTGAAAGCCAGACTTAGGTAAACACAGGGTGCTATTGACTTGAATATGTGTCTGAGTTGAGAATGATGCTCCCATCCCCAGGCTGCCATTTACCCCGCGTTTCCGATTGTCCCTAGTGCAATGATTGAAGAGATGCCAGGAGTCCTTCTCCTACACCTTGTGATTTGAGAGTTATAGTTCATCACACTGGCCTTCCATTTCCCAGATATCAAAAAACCATCTGGAATGTGCAGAGCCATATTCCTTCCCAACTCTGTTGTGCAAACGCGGCAGTGATCTTAATCTCTCTGCTTCTTAAAGTATCTTCTTTTAAACACATGTGACAATAACTATCTCACAGGAATACTGATGTCTAATTAATTACTGTTTGTCAAAAGCTTTAAGATCTTCAGCTGGAAAGGGGACCGTGGACGCATGCGGTATTATCTTGGAGAGTGCTGCATCTTGCTTTGTTGAATGAAACTAGTGTCTGTGTGTAATCAAATTAGGCACACTGCTAGAGGCTTGCGCTGTAATTAACGAAACCCATGCAGCCTGAATGAAGTGATCAGTCTATTATTTTTAGATTGAATCATTAAGTCTGAAGAGTGTCAGTGTTTTTTCAAGTAGCTTCTGTTTTCAGCGGACTATTGACATTCTGGCTCTCAATCTTGCTCTATGGGGTCAGTTAGTTTTTGCCCATTTTTCTCATGTCATGCAGATTTCATTACAACACAAAACTCTGATTTTTGAAAATTTGTATTTTCAAGTGTAGAACTAAGGTCTGCCTTGAAAAAAATAATACAGACTCAAGGTAAGAAAAAGGTAAGCGGGGATGCCACACGTTTTACTGAGAGCCTGTTCTGTGTCAGGGCCTGTGTAGCACTCTCAGTATATGACCTCACTTAATTTCCCCCCCGCCACCCAGTGACGTTGGTAGGATCCCCATTTTAGGGCTGAGGAAACAGGCTTGGGGAGGTAAAATGACTTATTGAAAGTCAGAAACTTGCACTCTTGCCATGAGTAGCAGAAGGCTGTGTCTGTGCAGCATGCAAGCGTGTTATTCAGACAGGTGGTAGTACACACCTTCAGCGTCTTGTTGTGTCTCTGCAACTCCCGGCATAGACTCTCCAGTTTGCTTCGAGCGAGGATGGCTCTGCTGTGTTCCCCTTGCAACTGGTCCTTTTCTTTTTGCATTTGTACCTGTTTCTTTTGTAAGAGCTTTAACTTCTTTTGCTCAGTGCGATGTTCATCCAGCTAGACGTGAGGGGTACAGACATGAAAAACAAAATGGCGGGGATCACTTTTGAGTGGATCGAAAAGACGCAGAAGAGGAAGTACCTAAAGACCCCTCTGTGGTTGTTGGAAACGTTTTTTGCTGTCATCACTGCCCCCCTGTAGTCAAATAAACTTCACAAATGGGACTTTGTAATACTTGTAGATAACGGGTTTTAGACCATGTCAGTGATAGGTTTTTCCTTATCATTATGGTTATAATGATCTCTTTTTGCTCTGATCTTCTTTTTGGTGGTCTAGAAATAGTTTTCTTTCTCTTGATTCTATCCAGTGATTTGAGTCGATATAGAAAGGCATATCTTGGAATCTGTAAGCTGCCAGAATCCATGATAATGCCTTGTGTTGGGGCAATGGTCAACAGTGTGTCTGCTCAGCTTATATTTTGTTCTCAGAATTCTTTCTCAAAACAAGCTTATAGCAACTATCTTTTTAAAAAATAAAAAAGGATAAACCAGCCCCCTGGTAAATGGAAGGTGAAGTCTGGGGGTCGTGAAAAAGGGTGAGAAGAGAAAGTACCTATCGACTATCTACGATTGGTGATTTTCCACCAGTTTCAGAAGTAGCCACTGCACAGCGTGAAGGGCAAGTATCTGTAACATGCCCTGCCCTCCAGCCACCCCCGCCCTCCATGCTTATGGCTAGTAAATCAGGACACTGGCTTTTGCCAACCACAGCTGGGGTCTCTTCTCACCCTCCTCCAACAGCTACCACGAAGTATTAGGGATGGCATGGAGAATGATACCCATGTTCCACTGGACTTTCCATCTTGGGATGCTAAAGTTCTGGGATAGGGTTGCAAGATAAAATGTAGGACACCCAGTTAAATTTGAATTTCAAACAAATAAATTAAATTAAATAAACTTAACTGGGTGTTCTGTATTCTTTTTTGCCAAATTTGGCAACATTTTAATGGAATTCTAGTTCTGGTGGGAGGAGTTTGGGGATCTACCAACAGAGCCACCAGAGCCTAGCATGTTCCAGGCATTTCGATCTCAGACTGACAATCAGTGAGACTGTATGCAAAGGGCAGCCCTTTGTCCAGAGCCCTTCCTTTGCTGGGCTCGGTTCCCTGCCTGTCTGAATGGTGCTTAATCCAAGTAGGTGCTTGTCCTGGTTAGGACCTTGTGGGCTCAAGAGGAGGAAAAGCCCCGGGGAGTGACCCCAGGTGTTCCTAGAGCCTTGAAGAGCCTGATGCAAGTGATTACAAACATGACATGAGCCCTCGTTTGTACCTCAGTTTCCCTGTCTTGAAAAAGCATTTGTTCTTTCTGAACTAGCTGAACAGGACTGTTGCACTTTTTCCAGTTCACATCTTATTTTACTCCCTTCCTCCCTCCCTCCTGCCACGCTAAAATGACCATTGCCAGATCAAGCTGGGGATATCCACACAAGATATTCTGTCTTCACATTTATGGGCAATTTGTATTTATTAGTGAGAATTAGCATCGGGAAAAACTAGACCTGTATTACTGTAAACATCGATTGAAATTGATATTTTTCTTGAGGTTCAATTGGAAAATCATTGATATTTTATTATATGTTTCTCATGCAAGCCTCCTGTTAGGAGGATAGATGAGGTCTTTTCATTTTGCACCACGGTTGTATTTGTGCTTATATTTGCATTTTAAATGACCTATTATCTCTTGCTGAAATTTATATTGTTATTATTGTTATTGCCATTATGATTTAGTCTTTATCTTTTGAAGATTAAATCATATGTCAGCGTTTCTCAACCTTAGCACTTAGACATACTGGGCAGCATAATTTTTTTGTGGTGGGGGGGCTTCTTGGACATTGTAGGCTGTTTATCAGTATCCTTGTCCCCAACCTATTGGAAGCAAGTAGCACCCCCCAATTGTGTCACCCAGAATATCTCCAGAAAGATTTACTCTTGGCCCATGGTGAACAAAACTGCCCTTGACTGGGGAACACTGCCCAATATGGATTTATCTGAGCATCAGGAGGAAGATACCCTACCTGTGTTTCATAAGTTGGAAGAGAGGGCTTGCTTGCTTATCAACCATGTCGTGTACTCCAAGGTCATACACATTTGACATTTAGCTGGGTCTATCTTGCTTTGCTCTAAATAAAAACGCTTAACTTCCTGACACTTTTTAAAAGAGTGTGGGTAATTTTGTTCAAGTACTTCAGACTTGTGAACACATATATGGTTTCTTAATGAACAGAACCAAACGTATTGCAACTGAGTCAACTTCAGTCAAATACTTGCTGGCTTAGTGTTTTAATAATGCACTTAGACACAGCTGTTCTGTACAATTGTAACAGGCCGAATGGATTTTCATTTCTGCTATTTTTCTTTTCTTCTTGTTTATTACTAAGTTAAAAAATAAAATTAATGTCAATTACCAAATCACGATAGTGTTAGTGATTTGTTGTAACTACATTAAAACTGAGGAAACTTAGAAAAAATACTTCTCCTAGGTCACTTCCTCATTTAGTCATGAGGTATCTTTATTTATTAATGAAAAGAGTAGTAGATTATATTACAGGATTCAGAATCTGTAAGGGTGAGTTAGCTAGAGAGGCTGTTTGATTCACAGCTTTGAATTTGATGATTTATTCTATGTTAACACCTACACATCAGACATCTCCTATATATATATATATTTATATATATATTTAATATATGAAATTTATTGTCAAATTGGTTTCCATACAACACCCAGTGCTCATCCCAAAAGATGCCCTCTTCAATACCCATCACCTTCCCTCCCCTCCCTACCACCCCCCATCAACCCTCAGTTTGTTCTCAAAACATCTTCTATATCAAATCAGTGAGCAATGAAATAGGTTTTAGTCTCCAGGTAAAAGATTGAAATTATTCAAAATTTTTCCTTTCTGAAAAGGAAATGTAATGGGTTTGGGGCCACTTTTCTCCTATACATTTTTTCTACAATGATCTTCTGGGTTTTAAAGTTTATATCGTGTCCTATTACAGGACAGGACATAAATGCCAAGGTAGAGTAAGTAAGGCTTGAATTGAGTAGGCTGTCTGGAAAGAGAACCTCGTGAGGTGACTCTTGACTAGGAGAGTGAGTAGGTGGAGGGAGATCCCATGGTGAACAGCCCCGGCTCCAGAAGAAAAAATCTTGGACTGACGGGCAAAGTGATTTGCTGCTGTGGGCTGCGGCACTGAACATGGCTTCCTGTGCGAGGCTAGAATGCTGCTCAATCCAGCCAAGTGTGGAGCAGAGCACTAGAAACTAAACATGAACGGCCTTGGCAGGAGGAGGTAAATTGAAGGGGCAAAGGGAGAAAAACGATGTGGAAAATACTGAAAAGAGCAAGGATGGACAGGTCAGAATGGGGGCCTTACTTTTGGGAAAAGTATTTTTGAAACCTAACTTACTTTATGGCATCGAAATTGTTCATAGAAGGTTAATAGCTAATGTTAAATAAGTTGCAATAAAAACAAGTTGATGCACTGATGCCTGCTTCATAAATTTCTACCATTCTTTTGGAAAGTAATATGACCGTTAAAAAAGCCCAATGACAAACAAAAGGCATTCATGATATTTGATGCAATAATCCCAATTCTGGAACTTTTCCCAAAGATCATAAAATGAAGAAGGAACAGATGTAAAGCATGACGGTGTTCACTGCCGTGATATTTGGTAAAGCAAACAGTGGAAGGAATCTAATGTCCCCAAATTAGGGAACCGGTAGATAATGGCTACTTAATGGAAAATAACATAGCTTGTTACAAAATATAATTATAAAGACTCTAAACGACATGGGAAAATGTCCTATGAGACAAAAAAAAAAACAACAAAAAACAAAAAACAAAAAACAACAACAACAACAAAAAAAAACAAACCCAAAAAGCTCAAGAAAAAAACCCAGCCAGATTCCAAAGTATAAGTACCTTATAGTAATTATTATAAAAAGTATCTCTGCCTATGTAGCAAAACTGGGAAGGAAGAGGGATAAATCCAAGTTTGTGTTTAAGGGTTATGGGTTTAGAGATATTTCTGCGTGTATTCAGTATTTCTTATATCATCATGATGTGGGGTTTATGTGATTATAAGCCAGTTAAAAAGTATTGGCAGAGATAAACAACCAGGCAGTCCCTCAGGGCCTCAGAATTCCTCTGGGTCTACTGCAGGATAGTTCAGCACAGAGAACGCGTCAAGGTGAAAGGAAGAAAAGGAAGGACGGGAATCACAGGACGAAAGTCCAAGTGAAAAAGAAAGACAAGTCACTTGTTAAACTCCACTCCATCAATAGGGATAAGACAAGGAGTTTGGAGGCCCCCTTTTTTAAAACAAAACACACAAGCAAAAAAACAAAACAAAACAAAAAAAAACACACACACCAACACCAACAAAATCATGAAAACAACACAGACACATAAAAACCCAAAATCAAGAAAAGAGAATTACGTCCAGGGTCTCAGAAGGGCCCATACCAGGGAGAGGCTCTGAATCCAGCTGCTTTAGTGGTAAAGGTCCATCTGCCTTCAACCTGCCGCCTGGAGGAACTGTTTTGCTGTGTGTGGACTTAGTTTCATTCTCCTGTGACAGCTTGTCCAACAGGAATAAATGAAACTTTTTTTTTCTTTTAAGGAAAGCAAGCAGGAATGAAGGAGAAGCACGTTGGCTAGCCCCACTTGAGAGGATGTCGCATCCCAGCCGCGGGTTCCATAAGGGAGTCCCCATGTGGGAGTGGTGTTTCCCTGAACCCGCCTCTTTTTCCCAAGTGGCCCCATTGTAGGAGTACTGGCTGGGGGACCAGGCACTTCACGGATTCTCTGATATCTGTGGGTGGCTTCCCTGCCTTCCAATGGCCCTCTCTTATCCAGAGGGAGCCTGCACGAGGAGGTCTTAGAACTGGGCACAAAGTAATCCACATCAGACACTTTGCCACAGTGGGGGCCGGGAGAAGAATGTAGATCAAAGAGAATGAATGAATGGTTGAATGAATGAATGAATGAATGGTTGATTGAATGAATGAATGAGTGAGTGCACAAATAAATTTTTCAAGACCAAATGAGAATGTGTCACAAATTGAGAGTAACTCATCCCTCTGCCTTCCTGAGGGGGCCCCTCAAAACACCTAGGAACAAGAACTGAACAAAAGTTTGCCCTTATGTAGAGTATATTTCTGTTATATTACAAAGCCAAAAGAACTTCAAAATATCCACAGCTTTCAATTATCTATAATTCTTTCTTCCACCCCCCCAAGTTATACATATAATTGAAGGCAGAGTAGACTCCAACTCTATCCTCTTTGTTTCTTTCTTTTTTAATGTTTATTTATTTTTGAGACACAGAGATAGAGCATGGGGGGGGTGGGGAGGGGGAGAGAGAGGGAGACACAGAATCCGAAGCAGGCTCCAGGCTCTGAGCTGTCAGCACAGAGCCCAACATGAGGCTTGAACCCCCGAACTGTGAGATCATGACCTGAGCCAAAGTCAGCCGCTTAACTGACTGAGCCACCCAGGCGTCCCTGTCCTCTTTATTTTGCTGTTTGCCCTCAGTTTTTGTTTCTTTTTCCTTTAAAAAAAAAAAACTCTGCTTTTCCAGATCCCCGCTCTGGCGTATGTGAGATAGCCAGCTACGGTCTATAATGAGGTACAGGAAAAGCGAACGGCCTCCTTTTCTCAGCTCTAACCAGAGCCTGAATCTTTCTGACAAAAAAAGCTAATCAGAGATCTTACCAATTCAGCATACTTCTTGAATAAAAAGTCAAATTTTTCTTCAGGTGTTTGCAGCTTGGTCAGCGTTTGCATGAGCAAGTTGCCTTCTTTGCCTTGAAAGAAAACAAAAAGCCATAAAGACATTTAAAAAAATAAGGGCTTTAAATATTTTGAAAATATTCAAAAGAATAAAAAACACTGACTTTATATGTGAATAAATCACCCATTTCCCTGCATTGATTAGTTTAAAAAAAAAAGAAGCAAAACCACCATCGAAATTTCTGACTACCACCAAACTGCCGGCCTGGAGATGTGCAGTTTTAGAATTCCAGCCCAAAGCACGGAAATTTGACAGTTCAGTAGGCCGCTTCTTTCTTTGTTTTGTTTTTGTTCCTTCAGTCCCTCTCTTCTCTCTTTTTTGGGGGAACCAATTCTCTTGCTTTTGTGCAGGAATGCTTTCCGCGAGGTTTGGGTGGGAGTGTTCTGATCATGCTTCCTACGAAGCAGAGAATGAGTTAAGATCAACCTAGAAGGAAGAGCGAGCCAAGACACGGCAGAGGACCTTCTCCACAGGGCCTCTATGTGTCGCTGTGACAACGGGATCCGCCTTCCTGGGCCTTCCTTTCCGCCACCCAGGTCTTCATCTTTGTTGGCGGTCTCCTTTTCTGGTCCCCGTGGAAGTTCATGCTACATTTGAAGACTCATCTCTTCACGATTATCCGCCTGTGAACCTCAGCTTCTCCTCTTTCCTCGTTGTTCTTCCTTTTGTCTTCTTCAGCCCAACCTCCCACTTGCCTTTCTGTGGGCCTGGAAATCTGGTTTTCAAGTCACCATTGGGCTGAGTGTTGGTGGGGAGGAGTGGGACCCTGAGCTCTGCAGGTACCACTGATTATATCTTTTCAAACAGTCTGGTCAAGGTGGAACAGAGTGACGAGTCGGTCTAGTTACGATAGGAAGGTCAAGGCACACAGTAGAGGTCATGGTTCCTGATGTAAATCTATGTAAGAATGTTAACAGCTTTGACAACCTTTCCCCAAGAACGGGCATTTCCCTTTTGCTGGAATATCTGCTTTTATCCCGGATAGGCATATGAATCATGGAATTAGGCTTGCCAGATGAAATACAGGACGTGGGACGTGATTGTACTAAAGAATTTTGCATTGTTTACCGAAATTCAAATTTCCCTTGGCCTCCTGTATTTTTATCTGCTAAATCTGGTAACTCTAATGGCATCAAAGAATTTTAGGTCTAGAAGGACTTTAAAGAGCATCCAGCCAACTGGTTCAATTTTATAGATTAAAAATCGAAGCCCCAGAGAAGCCCAAAGTTACATAATTAGTACTGGCAGAGCCAAGGCTTGAGTCCAAGGTTTGTCTGCTTGCTCTAAATCACTCCCTTCCCATGTGGAATTTTGATGCCAGGAAACCCAGAGAAATAATAAGAAACTTCTTCTTAAAAAACATGACCTCATTCCTAACAGCTGGTTTTGTCCATCTTTGCCCAGTGAGTCAGTTCAGATTAGAGATGTGGCTTAAGACAGGGGAGAGGGTGGGTGTGAGAGGGGCCCCACCAGCTCTCCGATTATGGGCTGCGGCCTAGCGTGCTGCGTTTACCCTGGTCATCACTGCCGCCCTTCCCCCACTGCGCCTGTGCCTTGAGTTATTTCTCTAGCCGCAGGGACGGACGTGCCTTGGTCAGGACATCCCTTCACCCTTGCCTTCAGTCTGTGGAAGGGGCCCCCGTGAAGCCTTTGTCATCTGTTAGAGGAAAGAGATTGCTGAAGATCACATTTGGCCCAGGACGCTGCATGGGTCTGTTCTGTGGCCAGTGCTCAGGAAGGGTTGGTAACAACGGAACAAAGCCAAGCCAAGGCGTGCACACTAGTGCCACGTAAATTAAACGATCAGTGTCCTAAAGACAACTTCATGATGGACCCGAGGACAGATGGGTCTTACTCTCCCCTGGGACATTTACTGTATGCCTAGGATCACCCCCCAGTAAGGGTACCGACGTGTAAAACCATATCATCTGGGGGAGATGGGAACATTTTTGTCTTCACATGAAGTATCTTCTTTCCTTCTTATTTTCTTTAACTGCGAGAAGAGGGTTTTTGTCTTGTTTTGTTTTGGTCCCGTTGAGGTTTCTAATATTCGGTTCTAATATTCTGTTATTTTGCATAGAAGGTTAACATTCGTGGGGCGCCTGGGTGGCTCAGTGGGTTAAGCGCCTGACTTTGGCTCAGGTCATGATCTCACTGCTCATGAGTTTGAGCCCGGCATTGGGCACTCTGCTGTCTCAGCGCAGAGCCTGCTTCAGAGCCTCTCATTCTCTCTCTCTCTCTGTCTGTCTCTCTCCTGTGTGTGCTCTCTCTCAAAAATAAACATTTAGAAAGTTAACATTCGCAAGCAACAGTCTATCCTTCCCAAATGATTTCTCCCTTTAACCACAACAACCAAATCCAGGAAATTGGAGACAAGCATGTGCAGAATTAATAAACTCGTGACACCAGAGAGCTTAGTTTGTAAACTTGCATCGGTTTTGCTGGACTAGAATGCTGTGGGGGATTACCGTGGCGGGGAGGAATAGACGAAAAGATTGCTCCGCTTCTCATAAAGGCTGTAATTACAGTTCCACAGAAATGGGGTCATTTGGTGATAGCGTCAGACCCAAGAGACAAACTGACTTTTTCCAGGGACAGTTTACTGGGAGGGAATGACTGCCTTTCCCCCCAGTGTGTCATTCCAAAGCACTGTGATTGTGAGATTCGTCATAAAGAAAGCAAGGGACAGACCTGAGTCCCCATTCGAGCTGGGGGAGGCATGTGAAGGGCATTCGGTCACCCCTCCACAAAGTACGCATTTAGTAGTTGGTCCCCAGGAAGGTAGGACCACCTCAGCAACAAGAACGGGTGTGTTGCACCTGTGGCACGGTTGTAGACCGAGGGAGTATTGTAATATGAAGACGTGATTCTTACATCAAAGATATTAAAACACTTAAGATAATGAAGTCAGCTATATAAATATGACCTGGGATTTTTCTTAAACTTTCAGCATAGCGATAACCATTTAAACTAAATTTACACAGACTTTTTTAAGTTTATTTATATTCAGAGAGACAGAGACAGTGTGAGTAGGGAGGGGTGGAGAGAAAGAGAGAGAGAGAGAGAGAGAGAGAGAGAGAGAATCCCAAGCAGGCTCTGTGCTGCCAGCACAGGGCTCAATGTGGAGCCTGAACTCATGAACCATGAGATGGTGACGTGAGCCGAAACTAAGAATCAGATGCTTAACCGACTGAGCCACCCAGGAGCCCTCTAAATTCATGCAGATTTGATGAGTGTCTAAAACCTTGTTCTTTCTCTTCCAAAATTATCTTTTAGAAATTGGGGGCTAAAATTTCATCTTGGTTACACACATGTGCCTTTCTCCCCCCTCCCTAATTTCCATGTGTTGTGGCAGAAGCTTAAAGCTGGAAAAAGATCATGAATATTCTGTTTCAGTGTTAGACCCAGATTCGTATTTTTTTTTTAATGTTTATTTATTTTTGAGAGAGAGAGACAGACAGACACACTGGACTAAGGATAAGGTCTAGAACCTGAGTTCTAGAACTCACCCTGCCATTGAGAAGTTGAGTAACCATTTTTACAGAGTCTTAACCTCTCTGGGCCTAAATTTCCCTGTCTATAAAATTAGTAAGTTGACTAAATGGGTTCTGAGTTTAGCATTTAGGATTTGTTGATTCCATGACTAGAGTAGTTTTAACCATTTTTAGCTTAATTTAGATAACAACAAAAACAGCAATGTTTGGATGGTATATTTGTCTTTCCAAAATATTTTTGTCCACTTTAAAAATTTATCAAGATTCTCTTATCCTTCATTATTTCCTCTCATAGTCTGGTTTTGTTTGTGCTGATTGGTTTTAATGACCTACCAGTTTTGAAAATACTACCTGCCCTGTATTTTCTTGTTACATTGTTTTTATTTGGCCAACATTTCATATCTCTTGTGTTTTTAGTCACCTTGTTGTATGCGTTTGGAACTTCGACCTCTTATTCAGTTGGGGAGTGGAACTGGACTTCTTTCTTTCTTTCTTTTTAAGTTTATTTATTTTAAGAGAGAGAGACAGAGTGAGCAAGCATGAGTGGGGGAGAGGCAGAGAGAGCGGGAGAGAGAGAATCTCAAGCTGACAGCACAGAGCCCAACACAGGGCTGGATCCCACTAACCATGAGATCATGACTTGAGCCGAAATCAAGAGTCAGAAGCTTAAATGACTGAGCCACCCAGGGGCCCCTGGACCTGGACCTCTTATTAGATCAGGCGGTGATATGTTTAAACTGTTAGCGATTTCTTGGCTGTAACTATAAAGAAAACTTTCTTAAAAGGAAAAACCTTTAAGAGTCTAATAATGAGGAGGTTACTCCAGGGAAAACAAAACAAAACCTTATAATGAAAGAAAAATACCAGAAAGAGCAGGAAAAAATGAAAACATCTATTCCTAATTCTGATCAAAAGAGAATACTAATCATTTTGCTCAAATTGTATTTTTCTATCCTATTCTACCCACTTCTCTAAACCCCTCTCTCCTTTTAGGACCTGGCCCGAGATCTAGTGTTCCTGTGAATCTACTCATGAACCTTTCACTCTTTGCTGATTCCTCTTTCCCCTGAATTCCTCTGGTCTCCTACCATTTCTTCCTAAATAAATAAATAAATAAATAAATAAATAAAATAAATTACCATTTGTATCAAGGCAAAAGTTTATTCCTCTTTCACAGTGAAACTAGAAATCAAGCTAAAATGGATGAAACACATCTTCTGGGAAAGTGCTCATTCTAAGGAAGAGTAAGTAAATGACTTTCTAAAGACATTTCAGAATCCATTGTCCTAGTCAAGGTCCTTAGATGATAGAACTGAAAGTCTACCTGTAACTAAAGATGAAACCCATTCACTGAGCTCTAATAAATGCTCCTCAACCAGTACCCCATTTAGTTTTTATGTATCTTCGGTCCTGCAATATTAGTGACTTTAGTTCTGCTCCCTTGCTTTCTTTGTGACTAATCTCACAGTCGCATCAACTAGTTGAGTAACCTCTTTTGCAGACTCTTAAACTCTCTAGGCTTCAATTTCCCTGTCTATAAAATTAGTGGGTTGACCAGATGTATTCTGAGCTCAGACTGGACCTGTGGATCAGCTTTGTTTTCCTCCTAGGCTTACACTTCAAACCTATGCTTTCCTACTCAATCAGTTATCTACCTAAATATCAGAATGGACATTATATTCTGTCATTGTTTTGTGCTTAATACTATGTGGTGCTTGTGCAACCCACGTCCTGTTGGCAGACAAGTGATTATTAAGACACTTGTGAGTCTGGAGGATGGGGTGGAGGAGGCAAGGGGGAATACTTAGATGCTGACAGGGCGTGCCATGGTGCTGTCTAATGTTTTATATGTTCTTGTTTCTTTCAGTTCAAATGCCAAGGAGAAAGTGACTCTACCAACTAAAGAGATTTAAAAATGTTTCCCCAACTGCTTTGGTGCATAGTGTGTTGCTTGTGAGGGGGTATGCAGTCTCTAAAGGAAAAACAAGTCCTAGATACTTGGGTTGTAGAGACATTTCCCAAATATTCAAAGTGTTTGGGAAAGAAGGGTCTCTTTGGTCCAATAAGTCTAGGAAATGTTGTAAACTATGCCCATCACTATTGGACATTTTCATTGTTGTATACATTAAAGGTCAGAAAATTCTGGCAGTAATGAAACTTTAGCTTTGTTGAAATCTGAAATGTCCCAAAATATATACTATGGGAAAAATTTGGGTTAGAGAGCCAGAACATTTCAGCATCTCAAAATACCAACAAAACAAATATTATCTGAGAAGCATGCAATAATTAAAGAGTCATCTTCGATTAAGCACCTAAGCAAAGTCTAAGGATATCTTTTCAGGTACTGGTCAAATGAGTTACTAAAATTCTATAAAAGTCCAAATAGATTCTAACGAAGACCATAGTCAACACTTCACTTTTTTTTTTTTTTTTTGGTCTCCAAGAGGGCGGAAGAAGCACTTTCTAAAGCATCAGAATCATTGTTCCACAATCTGTTTGTATCAAAATTACCCAGGGTGCTTTGGTTCCACTCCATTCCTACAAATTCTAAATTTCTGTGCTCAGGAATAGCATTTTTTATAAATTCAGTATTCAATTCTAATGCACAATGAAGTTTAAGAACCACTGGTGTAGATGATAGTACAGAGCCATTTAATTGATAAACAGCTAATAAGCCTGCTAACGCTACATGCAGATGGCTGAAATAGTGTTTAAAATGGTGGTTACAACGGGCGCTTGGGTGGCTCAGTTGGTTGAGCATCAGACTCTGGATTTGGGCTCAGGGCACGAGCTCACGGTTCATGAAATGGAGCCCCTCAATGGGCTCTGTGCTGACTGTGCTTGGGATCTGTCTCTCTCTCTCTCTTTCTCTCTCTCTCTGCCCCTTCCCCACTTTTATTCACTCTCTCAAAATAAACTTAAAAAAAATACATCGGTGGTTACCTATTTCAATTAGACTAAAAAAATTTTTTTAACATCATAACGTAGCTGAAACACTAGTGGTTAGAAGAACGTACTGATGGTGTTCAGGGGAATGGCATGGAAGGGTCAGCGTTTATACACGTGCGGTTAGAGTGGACACGAGTGGGCACCCTGCTTCACAAACATTGGTTCTGACCACAGGCTCAGTTGAAATCTGGGAACTTGTAGATAGTGGGAGGATTAGAATTGTGGAATTTTTTTCTTTAAAATGGTTTTGACTGTTTGGTAATTAAATGGTTAATATGGATTTTGAAATAACTCCTGGAAGACAGAGAAGAAACCACAATTGGTCTTCTTTGACTTTACTCCTATTTTCTTCATATCCTCTCAATACAACACAGACACATTCCTCTATAGAAGTTGTTTTAGAGTGAGAAAGCAAAAGAGCTTTCCTGGGTAGGAACACTTGAAATCATTCACCTCTGAGACGTGACTTTGTGTTGTCTTATGGGAAGTTACACAGGGACTAATCCAAAAGGGACTTTCCTGAGATGGCTTGGATAGATAAGGAAAAGCAGTGTTGGAACGCAGAGCAACTTTATTCTCTTTCCCAAAGATCCAAAAACACTTGAGGGATTCCAATCTTGCACTTTGGAACTGGGTAGATATTTTCAAGGTATTATTTGGGTTATTTTATTCTTTATGCTGGGTGGGCCAAGTGCGCCATTTGAATGTGTCTTTTAGCCCTTCTTGAAATCATTGCCAGCAGTGGATTTAAAGCACCATAGTCATATCCCACGCATTGGCATATTTGGGGGGTTATAGATAGCTCGTTATTGGAGTCCGAACCCCGCACTGACTCCAGCGCCCATGAGTTTTCACTTTGCCACATTATCTTCCAGAAATGAATAAGACATTACAGCTTCTCCTGATAGATTCTCTACCTTCTTTGGGAAGCAGGTATATAAACAAATGATTGCTTCAGAAGATTGAATGGAGGACTAAGAAAGGTGATGCCAACTCTACCTGGGCATGTCAGGGAAGGTACCGTATAAGAGGTGGTATTTGTGGTGTCACAGTGGAATTCACCAAGGAAGACAGGCAGGGGGGCTATCCTGGGTATAGTAACATGCTTCCACCAGTAGCTAAAAGCTTAACCCATTCGCTCTTTTTTCACAGCCATTTCTGGTATAAAATCCCTCCCAACAACTTTCCTGTGCCTGTTCTTAGCACTTCTTCTATATAACAATTAGATTAAATGTCTGTTTTTCTCTCCATACCTACAGCTCCTTAACCAAAGGTCCATAATGACTTATTTATCTTTGTGTACCTAATGCAGTACCTCATAAGGACTAGGCATTCATAAATGTTTGCTGAATCAATAAGCGAATGAGAGTAAACATGTTTTCTGCAATGTTTGACATTCTATAATTGATTTCTAAAGAGTTTTGTTAATAAAAAATATTTCATGTAGTAATAAAACGTACTAAGTGATCTAATTGGTGATCATTTCATGTACGAACCATCTCTATATTTATATTTTGTTTAAATCCAGATTCCACTAGCTTTGCTTTAAACAATTTCTCTTTCATTCATTTACTCACTCATTCCTCCTTGTAACAAGTATTTACTGAGTACCTAGCATGTGCCACCCACTATCTTAGATGCTAGGCATCCAATGGCATCTGAATATACACACAATCCCTGTTCTTGATCGAAAAAAGCTAGCCAGGAAGACATGCATTAACCACATAATGGCAAAAAGGAAATGCACACTCTCAAATGCTGCTAAATGCTAGGAAGGAAAGATACATGGTACAATCGAAATAGAAAACAAGAAGACCTTATGTAGGGTTGGGCTAAGAAAATGCCATTTGGATTGTAAGCTAAATACTAAGTTAAGTGCCCAAAGGGCTGAATGGGTAAGGATTTCTAGGTAGAGGAAATAGGATGTATGTGGGCTTTGTGGGGGATGGAACGCATGGTGTGTTCAAACAAAGGAAAGAGAAGATCAGAATGATTGGCAATTAGGCAGTACTCATTGTGGTGCTGGTAGGGGCAGAGAGTTCAGAAAAGGGGTGTTGTGGGCAAGAGTGATGGGAGATAAAGCTGGGAAGACTGGTTAGGGTTAGACCATTAGGGCCTGAAAGACCATGTTAAGAATTTTGGTTTTGCCCTAAGAGCAGTGGGAAACCATTGGAGAGAGAGGGTAGGTGAGTAACATGTTGAAAAGTTTGCTTTAGCTCTTTTGTGGGGAAGTGGCTAAACACAATTATAGCAAGGGAAGTTTAAGGAGACCCTGAAGGAAGCTATTACAGTAATAGCCAAAAATGAGATGTGGCTTTTAGTAAAGGTTGGAGAAAGTGTCCCTTTTTAGGAACACCTCAAAGAAAAGTCATGCATGCATTAGAACACAACTACTTGCCTAATCCTTTCAGGATTTTCTTTTCCAATTTTTGCTCTTTATTACTGACAGGCTCTTTGGCTGTGGCTGGCTCTCCAGAAGCTGTGGGTTCTCTCTCGATCTCTTCAGTGGTCTCATCACAGTCCCCGTCCTCATGGTCGGGTGGTTCTGTGTTCTCAGGCTGCTCCTTTGCTTTGGTGGGACCCTCTTTTTCAGTAGCAGACCCATATGTGTTGATGATGTCTTCTAGTTGTCGGTTCAGCTCCTCAGAGATATCATGAGCTCCCTGTTCAGTCCGCATACCTGCCTTCCCCTCTGGTGCTTGGAGTAGGGTTGAGGAATCCTTCTCATCTTGCTTCTCCAGACCATTTTGAGTGGGTAATGAATTGTCCCCTGGAGGTGTTGATTGGGGTTCCCCCGAGAGCTGTACAGACTGATTCATCTCCATACTGGGAGCAGTATCTAGTGGTAAGCATAGTCAGGTTTTATGTAGTTAATACAGTTACATGTAAAATGTAAGGGTATCCCCACAAGGGCACCTACTGATTACAGTTTCTAACATAGAATGAATGTACTTTGACAAGACATCAATATTGCAGTTAGTTAAGGTAGAAACAGTGGGGAGCCATTTTTCCAAAGTGGGTCATACTACTAGCATATTTTTGGTTTTGGTCTTTAAGTTCCAGAAGAAATTCCTATTATTGACACTAATGGAGTAATTCAAGATATTGTTTTTCAGGTTGTATTTGTCATGTTGCTTAAGCCAATTTGTGCTACCTCTCTCTGACATTATTCTATACAGCCTTACAATCATTGGAAGGACATGAATGTCTACATTAAAAATGTTTAAAGTGGTGTTATTTTTTCAAAGTTAAGACATTTAATACAAGAGCCACTGAACTTACTAAAATCATTCATAACAATTGCAGTCCTAAACTCTGTTTTAACCCATAAGTGAAGAGTTGATAAATATGAGTACATTGATGTAAATGAATTATTATACTGCATACAGGAAATACTTTCTGGCTTTTCTGGTATTTTCCTTTTCCCAGATGAGCAACACGTAATTATCCATCAGGAAGACACTTTTTCTGAGGTTCAAACTAGCTTCATTTCTGGAATAAGATGGAGAATGAAGGAGGGTATAAATTAACCAACAGACTAATATGGGACCATGGTGATGGTCATGATAACAATTTCTTGAATTTCCATAACACTTTTTTGTTCCAATGTAAAAACAGGCTTTCTTTTAGAAAAAAAAAAAAAAAAAAAAAAAAAAAAAAAAAACAGATTGCAAATCTTTTCTCTCAGTCAAGAAGCTCTAGGATAACTTCATAATTTTTAGGAAATAGCAATGTTCCCAATATTACTGGGAAATAATCGACATATAATAGGGGCTGTTTGGAAATAGGTGCTGAAGTACAAGTTGAGTCAAGAATTCCAGGGTTTCTGGATATCACCGTTTCTAGGTTACAGTGGAATTGACTTAGGCCTTTAAGTTACGGTGCATTTTATTTGTCAATGGTATTTAATGGTGATGCTGCTAATTCTTAGCATAAAAATATGACAGGCTCCTCCTAGGGCATAGGTTCTGCTGTGGTGGGGGGATGAGAGCAAAAACAAAAGATACTGTTCCATGCCTTGCACAGCTTCCTCCTCTTGTTCTCAGGGAAGGGCAGGTCAAGTGCTTGAGCACCAACAAGCATGAAAAATTCAACCTACAGTCATTGTCACCTACTTATGGCCCCCATCAAGTACTCCTTAATTTCGAAAGAAACACTTTTTTCTTGTATCCACTTTAATTCACCAACTTGATTATCAAATGATACAGTAAACAGCCTTAATGTTTCCATCACCGGCATTTTTTTGTGTCCTGACCCCTACTTGTTGGGCACACTCATCTATATATAACTCCTGCCTCCCCTAAACTCCAAGAAAGACGCACAGCACCCGCTGTCCAGCCAGAAGTTATTTTAAGCTCTTCTAAAAGTAGCCGTGGCATCTGGCACTTCTTTGAAAATCAAGGGAAGCGAATCCTTTTTAAATCAAAACTAAAAGCAGTAAACATTTACTGGCTTAAATACATATGTGAGTTTTAACGTGTTAGGGAGGCTTCTTGGGATGAAATAAAATCTAAAGTAAACCCAACTTCAAAGCAATGAATTTAAAACTGTTCACAGGAGTTTTAATACGGTTAGTCTAAATGCAAAAGTTTGGTTGTATTTGATTTATTCTTCATTCCTCAGAGGCCACAGTCATTGATGTTTTTAATATTAATTCCATGGATATCCCTTAAACTCATATCCCACATTTACTTTAAAACAGAGTTGACTGAGTCATTGTAAACCACGAGACAACTCAATTCCTAAAAGTAGCCTCAGGATAAATCAACAAGAAGGGGGAAAAAAAAACAAATTCAAGAAACTCTGCTACTTTTAAATTGTCCCTTTCACTATGAATAACTTGACAGCAAGAAATTATTTCTAAATTTTATCTTCTTAATAAACTTTATTGCCTCGTTTTCTTTATTTTTTTCTCCTCTAAGAATTTTTCACTTGTATTGGTAGTCCAGCCAATTATCACACGCATCCCTTTCTGAGCAACACATTTCAATTATAAATAAAACAATGGAAAGTTCTTCCACAGTTCACTGGCAGTCTCAAAGTTGCAAGTTTTGAACACCACAAACCGCACCCTCCAGCTTCTCACAGGGCTTGGGGGGAGCATTTGTCGCACTTACCAGAAGGCAAGGAGCTAAGCAGAAAGAGAAGAGGCAAAAGGCAGCAAAAAGCTAGTGAGAGGAGCCCCGACAGCAGGAGACAGGCAGGCAGGCGGCTGTGTTCTTACAAGGGAGAGAGAAACCACACACACACACACACACACACACACACACACACACACCACAGGCACAGCAGGAGAGCAGCGAGGGGGTGGGGAGGGAAAGGAACAGCGTGTGACACAGCAAGAGAGAAATACACCCAAGTTTCAGTAGCTGCCTCCTGGGCAAACGTCTTGAGAAAAGAGAAGCAGCTGGTATATCTTATCAAACTCTCTGTGTTTTGTCCTTAAAAAAATTTAGCTCTCACTAGATGCCCCTCTGTTAGAGCGATTTTTCACCCGTGTTCTTTCGGGCAGAGATCAGTTTTTCTTATATCTGGGTTTATCTCCAGTGTGGTCTATGAATCATCTTACTTTTTTTTTCCTTCTTATGCTAGTCTAATTAGTGTCAGATTTCTTATGGGAATCATGGGGGGGGGGGGGGGGGGGGGCGGGGGACAATGGCATAACAAAAAGGAGGTGGTAGAACTCCTTAAATCCTGATGTCATTGGTTGGTTTGTAAAATTTGAAATAAAAATCGAAGTGGTGTCCTGGAGCTGGGTTTAGTGGCATCTTCATGTACACAGTAATTGGCGTGGCCTCACATCCCACGTCTTACTGACGTCACTGCCTTCACATCTATTTTAGATAAGCCCTATGGGGAGGCAGTCACTTTTTCTTTTTGAGTTGGAGACTTTTCCACTGCTGCTTTCCCAAGTTTTTCCACCCTTCTTAGGTCTTCAACTTGCTCCGTAACCCTCCTCAGAGAAAGAACCTTCTGCCTCTTTCTCTTGACTTACAACCATGCCCTTTATTTTCTGTTTCTGGAGAACGTGTTCCTCCATTAGAGTTTCTGTTCTGGGACTGGGTGGGCATAATGACACCTGTCGTGGTATGCAGAATAGTGCCACCAGAAAGATGTCCACATCCTAATCCCAGAAACTCTGTGAATTCGTTACTTTGCAAGGTGAAAGAGACTTTGCAGGTGTGATTAAATTAAGGATCTTGAGATGGGGGAATTATCCAGAATTATCTGGGTGGGCCCAATGTAATCACAAGGGTCCTTATAACAAAAGAAAGAAGCAGGAGGGTCAGTGTCAGAAAAAGACACCAAAAGAGGTCATAGTGCTGTGGGGCCACAAACCAAGGGATTTGAGAAGCTTCTTGAAGCTGGGGAAGGCAAAGAAATGGATTGTTCTCTAGATCCTCCAGAAGGAATGCAATTCTGCAGACACCTGATTTTACCTTAGTAAAATTCATTGTGGAGTCCTGACCTCCAGAACTATAAAATAATAAATTTGTATTGTTTCAGTGCTATCAGATTCATGGTAAATTGTTACCTTAGTAAAGGAAAACTAAAATATCCTGCCCCCAAACATTTTCTCACCCCCTTCTCTGAGTTCGGGGGAGGAGGCATAAGTTATATATCAGATGAGTGTTCCCAACAAATAGGGGTCAGGATAAAGAAATTACAATAATGAAGACAATAAGCTGTTTACTGCATCATTTGATGATAAGGTTGGTAAATTAAAATGAGTGGGAGAAAAAAAGTACCTCTCTCTAAATTAATGTGTTCTTGGTGAGGACCTAGAACTGGGCGGCATACCATACTGGATTGCATTAAACTGACCCAGTTAGAATTCTCAGTGAGTATAAACAGTAAGTCAGTGCTTCTCAAATTTAAGTAATGTACATATTTTTTAACAGAATTTTTAATAATGAAATTAATTTAAAGGAAAAAAAAGAACTCACCGTGATTGAACTAAGTTACTGTATTATCATTTGTAGCAGTATGTACTAATATAAAAGTAGATATAAACATCTGCTGCTTATAATTATTATATGGTACCAATTTTAAAAACATCATTTAAAGAACCCTATGAGATGAACAAGTATAATTCAAATGAAAATATTACTTTTATGTGGCAGATGGTATTTTGCTGAACCCAAATTGCCACTTGCAACACAAATATGGTACTGCCTGCCGGTCCTATTGAGTTCATGACACTCTTCTACATTGTGCCTGAGAAATGACTCAATTTCTTCAACACTTGGTCCATTCAAATTATTACATAAGTTTCATTGACCTTAACTGCCATAATTTCAGTTGGACTTCCTTTGATTCTAACATCATTTATAGCTGTTTCTCACTTTCTTTTTCTTTTTAAAGATTTACTTTCTTTTCGTATATATTGAGAGAGCACACGAGAGGGGGAGAGGGGCAGAAAGAGAGACAAAGAGAGAAAGAGAGAGGGACAATCTTAAGCAAGCTCCACACTCAGCACAGAGCCTGATGCAGGGCTTGATCCCATGACCCTGGGATCGTAACCTGAGCCGAAATCAAGAGTCAGATGTTCAACCAACTGAGCCACTCAGGCGCCCCTCATTTTCTTGCAATTATTAAAGTAGTGCTACTTATATACCCTCACCTGGGCCATAACCCTAACCCTAAGATCTGAGAAAACCCTAACCCTAGATCTGAGAAAAAATAAAAAATAAAAAAGAACGGAATATTACTCAGCCATAAAAAATAATGAAATCTAGTTATTTGCAATGACATGGATGGAGCTAGAGAGTATTATGCTGAGCTAAATAAGTCAGTCAGTATATTATTTCACTCATCAGTGGAA